GAATCAAATACAAAATGGGAGTTGACACAGTTACTTTTTACTGATGATACTATACTTTTGGGGGATTCTAAAGAAAAGTTGCAAAGGTTAATGGAGTTTGGGAGGATATGTAAAGGTAGAAAGTTGAAAGGGAACATAGATAAGAGTAAGGTGATGAGGGTATCAAACGATTTAGATAAAAACTGGATATCGCACTGGATGGAGTATGGAAGAAGCGTATGTTTTCAGATATTTGGGAGTTGACTTTACAGCAGATGGGTTTATGAAGGATGAGGTTAACCATAGAAGTGATGAAGGAAAAAAGGTGAGTGGTGCATTGAAGTATCTGCAGAGACAAAAAACATTACCCATGGAGGTAAAGAAGGTAAAGTACAAGAGTACAGTGGAAACATCACTCTTATATGGGTGTGAAGCATGAGTTGTAAATGCTACAGCAAGAAGGCAGCTGGAGGCAGTGGAGATACCCTGTCTAAGGGCAATGTGTGGTGTAAATATTATGCAGAGAATTCATAGTGTGGAAATTAGGAGGCGTGGAGTTACTAAAAGTATCAGTCAGAGGGCTGAAGAGGGGCTGTTGAGGTCTGGGTTTGATTCCCAGCCAGGATAAAACATTGGGCATGTTTCTTTACACCTGTTGTCTATGATCACCCATCAGTAAAATGGGTACCTGGGTGTTAGTCGACTGGTGTGGGTCACATCCTGGGACACTGACCTAATGTTCCCAAAATGCTCAGCATAACAAGGGGCTTTCTATATAGCAGTATGTCATTGATGTCAGCTAGACCTGTATACCATGTACATGTACTTGTAGTAAATAACGATATTATTATTATATTATTAGGGGAAGGAAGGTGTGGTAGGGGTCGTCTCCAAAAAGGTTGGAGGGAGGGGGTAAAGGAGGTTTTGTGGGTGAGGGGCTTGGACTTCCAGAAAGTGTGTGTGAACATGTTAGATAGGAGTGAATGGAGACGAATGGTTTTTGGGACCTGATGAGCTGTTGGAGTGTGAGCAAGGTAATATTTTGCGAAGGGATTCAGGGAAACCGTTTAGCCGAACTTGAGTCCTGGAAATGGGAAGTACAATGCCTGCACTTGCCTGCTTGGGATATTGGTAGTTTGGAGGAACATCTAAATTGTCGTATCTGAGCACCTCTGCAAAGACAGGGATTATGTATGAGTGATGGTAAAAGTGTTGAATGATTATGAAAGTTTTTCCTTTCTTTTTGGGTCACCCTGCCTTGGTGAGAAATGGCCGATGTGCTAAAAAAAATTATTACAATCATAAATAAACACTAAACCCATAAGGGTCAATAATATATGTATTTTTTATTAACACATTGGCTGCTTCCCACCAAGGCAGGGTGACCCAAAAAAGAAGAAACACTTTCATCATCCTTCACTCCATCACTGTCTTGCCAGAGGTGTGCCTATGCTACATTATTATAACCAGCAGTGTATCATACAACAGGAGGTAAAGTTTTTATACTAAACTTATGTGAAATATTAAATCTGTATGTGTTGTTCAGCATAAAGAACAGCGAAGGTTCAATCCTCTGTCTGCTAATGCTTATTACTTATGTTATTTGATTATGCATATAAAAGAGCTAGTAACAGAAACACTAATATTATCCTACATTATCTTGCCCTAGCATAACCTCTGATTTATGCTCTGTGATTGTGTTCATTATACTATACAACGATCACATTCTCTTGAAAACACTCATAAAAGGATGACAAAATATAGACTCAATATCAGAAATCATTATAATAATACAGTGGTCCCTCGCTTTTCGTAGTTCTCGGCAATCGTAAATTTCGGAAATCATAGGGATATTTTCGTATAAATATGGGCTCGCTTTTCATAGGTTGACTCATGAGTTGTAGTTCATCCGGGACGCGTACTCACGGCGTGAGCCGTGGCGACAGCCAGTCTGGCATTGTTTACCAGTGAGCAAGGTCCCCTCACGTGCTCCAGCGAAATATTTCATAATATTCCATTTATTTTAGTGTTTGCAAGTACTAAATAAGCTACCATGGCTCCAAAGAAAGCTCCTAGTGCCAAGCCTGTGGTAAAGAAGGTGAGAAATACGACTGAATTTAAGAAAACCATCAATGAACAATATGAAAGTGGTACAAGTGTGGCCGAACTGGCCAGGATGTATAAGAAACCCTACACAACCATATGTTCCATAGTGACCAAGAAAAAGGAAATCAAGGATGCTGTTGTTGCAAACGGGGTAACTATGCTGACAAAAATGAGATCGCCAATACTCGAAGAGGTTGAGAAGTTATTATTGGTGTGGATAAATGAGAAACAATTAGCAGGAGATACTTTTATGACTTCGATTATTTGTGAAAAGGCTAGGCAGTTGCATGACGATTTGGTAAAGGAATTGCCTGCAACTAGTGGTGATGTGAGTGAATTTAAGGCCAGCAAAGGCTGGTTTGAGAGATTTAAGAACCGTACTGGCATACACAGTGTGGTAAGGCATGGTGAGGCTGCCAGTTCGGACCACAAGGCGGCTGAAAAATATGTGCATGAATTCAAGGAGTACATAGAGGCTGAAGGACTGAAACCTGAACAAGTGTTCAATTGTGACGAAACAGGCCTCTTTTGGAAGAAAAATGCCAAAGAGGACCTTAAATTACACAAGAGGTAAAGGCAATGCCAGGAAAACAGCCTATGAAAGACAGGCTGACGCTAATGTTCTGTGCTAATGCTAGTGGGGATTTCAAAGTGAAGCCATTACTAGTGTACCATTCTGAAAATCCCAGAGTGTTCAGGAAAAACAATGTTATGAAGAGTAAATTGTGTGTGTTTTGGAAATCTAATAGTAAGGCATGGGTCACGAGGGAAATTTTCGTCGAGTGGTTCAATGAAGTGTTTGGCCCTGGTGTGAAGGAGCATCTCCTGGAAAAGAAATTGGATCTCAAGTGCCTGCTAGTAATGGACAATGCACCTGCTCATCCTCCAAACTTGGATGACCTAATTTTCGAGGTGTTTGGGTTCATCACAGTAAAGTTCTTGCCCCCGAATACCACTCCTCTCCTCCAGCCCATGGACCAGCAGGTCATAGCAAACTTTAAAAAACTCTACACAAAAGCAGTGTTTCACAGGTGCTTGACTGTGACCACAGACACTCACTTGACCCTAAGGGAATTTTGGAGAGAACACTTCAGCATCCTCCATTGCATAACCTTATAGGTATGGCTTGGGAGGGAGTGACTACCAGGACTTTGAACTCTGCCTGGAGAAAATTGTGGCCAGATTGTGTCGACAAGAGGGATTTTGAAGGGTTTGGGACGGGACCCTGATGAGCCTATGTCTGTTGTAAATCAATTGTGGCACTGGGGAGTTCCATGGGGTTGGATGTGAGTTTGGAGGATGTGGAAGAATTGGTGGAAGACCACACGAAGAGCTCACCACTGAGGAGCTGCAAGAGCTTCAGCAGGAACAGCAACAGATTGCAGCTCAGAATCTTGCTGCAGAGGAGGAGGAGAGAGATGGAAGAAGGTGCCTTCTTCAGAAATTAAAGAGATTTTTACTATGTGGGGTAAGATGGAAAGCTTTATGGAGAAACATCACCCTAACAAGGTTGTTGCAAGCCATGTTGGCAACATGTACAGTGACAAAGTCTTGGGCTATTTTAGGGAAGTGTTAAAGAGACGCCAGAAACAGAGCTCTCTGGACAGTTATTTTGCGAGACAGGACTCCAGTGACTCTCAAGGTGGTCCTAGTGGCATTAAGAAACAGAGAAGAGAAGCAACCCCAGAAAAGCAAATGGTACCTGAGGTGTTGATGGAAGGGGATTCCGCTTCCAAACTATTAACAATCCAATCTCTCTCCTCCTCCAGTCTCCCATACACTAAGGAAATAAATGGTATAAAATATAATACCGACACAATGGAAATATAAACACATATGCAGTATAATGTGATCCTTTATTGACTACATTTCGCCCACACAGTGTGACTTGAAAAAGCCCATTGTGTGGGCAAAACGTAGTCAATAAAGGATCACATTATACTGCATATGTGTTTATACTCCCATACACTAAGGAGAATCTCCAATAAAGGTAAGTGTTATGCTGTTAATGTTTCATTCATCATTTCCCATTGTATTGTTTATGTACTACATGTATATTTCATGTAAAAATTTTTTTTGTTTTAATACTTCTGGGTGTCAGGAACAGATTAATTGTATTTACATTATTTCTTATGGGGAAAATTGATCCGCAAATCGTAAATTTTGTTTATAGTAGCTCCTCCAGGAATGGATTAATTACGAAAAATGAGGGACCACTGTATAATATAATAATAATATCTTTATTTACTACAAGTATATGTACATGGTATACAGGCCTAGCTGACATCAATGACATACTACAATATAGAAAGTTCCTTGTTATGCTGAGCATTTCAGGCAAATTAGGTCAGTTTTGTCCCAGGATGCGACCCACACCAGTCAACTAACATGCAGGTACCCATTTTATACTGATGGGTGAACATGGATGACAGGTGTCTTATGGAAACATGTCCGTCGATCACTAGCCCACTCAGCTGACATGTCAATGTGTGAGCTGAGTGGGCTAGTGATCAAGCTACGGGACACCTGCAAAGATCATCTAAGACTAATTTAGTTATACTTTTGTAAAAGAAATTGAATGACAGGGTACTCTTTGAACGACATGGCAGCCTGAACAGGTACCCTTTCTGAATGAAAGGGTACCAATTGAATGAAAGAGGTATGCTTGACAGGGATTGTATGGGTGTTTAGGGCTACCTGGTTTACTCAAGACATTACAATAATTAAGACATAAATAACTAATAACATTTTATAAGTACTGTACTATAACCTACACCTCCTAAAGTTTCTTATATACAACCTTCATATCTTCATAAGTAATTTATCTAAGCATATACTGTGTCCTGAAATATGCTTAATAACTTCACTTTTTATAAGTGGTAAATAGGGCTTTTAAGGAAGTGAAATTTACATACCAGCGTAAGGTAAGGATGACGCAAGTAGAACATGTTTTGTTCTTCTAGTTGCAGCCTTTTTGAAGCATTACCTGTTTCCAGTTCTGTTACCTTTGGTATCATCCTATGCTTCCTGGAAGTAGAGAAATCTCTCTATTCTTTATGTCTCAAGCAATTAATAATTATATTTATTATGTTTACATAATCTAATACCATTATAAGAAGTATCAAGCAACACCAGTAATTAAGAAAAGATACAAATGGCAGAGCAATCTGTAACTGTACATTTGCTATAAGTACGTTTTTATTTAGGCTTTCCATACAAACGTACAATTTTTCTTTATACAGTGGGTTTGAGGGTGCACATGCTATAGTCATGTAGATTTGACCTAGGATAAGCCAAAAAAAGGTTAATGTGAATCTGTTGTGCTTTATGACTCATATCGGTTTTCATATTTTGTGAATATAAAATAATAACGTGAATCTGTAACAATATAAGGCTGGTTTGCACCTGTGTATTTTCTACAAAGACATTTTACAGTAGACAGAAAGGTACATGATACTACTAGGTAGTGCAAAAAGACAAAATGCAATCACTTAGAACAATGTCCAATGACCAATGTCCCAGAGCCAAAACATTTCCAATAAACGTGTCCTTAGTGATTGCATTTCACGTCTATTTTCAAATTTTTTCAGTACTCCATCCCATAATGTAATGCCCTATCTTTTAACAAGTACTGTCTCTCAGAAACATTAACATACATCACCTAAAATTTTTCCTCTTGCATTACAGGTTAAACATCAAGCAATACTACATTCAACAATTCAAGCTTCAAAATCTTTATTTCCATTAAGTATATACAGTATACAGTTGATAAAGGAATAAGTAACATGTTTAACAGATTGAATGGAAAGCCCCTTGTTATGCAGAGCATTTCAGGCACATTACCACACAACAGTATGCCAATATATATCTATCAATATATATTTTTATATTCTCAGTATTATTCCTACTTGTTTTCTGACTGAGAAGGGTTGCATAACTATGGTCTTTTCAATCTAAGAAACAAATACTGCAAACTAATCTTTGTAACACAAATGTATCTCCTTGGAAAATAAATTATTATTAACTAACTTCAGAGACCTAATCATAAATTACTTAAAGTTGTCATAAAAAATGACTGTTTTGTATATCTATCATGATTATGCAATGTAATTATTCAATGTAAGACAAATTATGCACTATAATACCACTGTAGATGACGTCTTATTATAAAGAAAAAATAAATAAAATAAAATATTTATTTCTTTGCTAAGGTTACAATGTGTGTTTACATATCATAGTATGACCGGAGCAAAGAAAGCCACTATCATGCCGAGGCATGATAGTGGCTTTCTTTGCTCCATACTTTTTTGCAGATTTAACCTAGTACTTATAGACTACTTAAGTCTAGACAGGTGAAAAGTGATAGAATATAGTCACTCAATCTTCACTCTATTGTTAATATGAGGTAGTACAATTTATGACAATACTACATTTTTAAGTATGAAATTAGGTTCTTTTACAATGGTAGAATACAAATATTCTATATTTCACTTTTATTATTAACGAGGAATTTTATTCAGATTATAACTTGCAGGGTTAGTAACCCAGGCCCATGGCCTGGTAGGCAAAGCTCTCGCCTCACACACTGAGTGTCTGTGGTTCAATTCCCGGCAAGGGTGGAAACATTGGGCGTGTTTCCTTATACTTGTTGTACTGTTCACCTAGCAAGCAAGTAGGTACATGGGTGTTAGTCAACTGCTGTAGGTCGCATCCTGGGGGACAAGATCGAGGACCTCAATGGAAATAAGACAGTCCCTTAATGACGCATTGCATTTCTTGGGTTATCCTTGGTGGCTAACCCTCTTGGGTTAAAAAATACCAATAAAATCTTATTAGTGCAACTTTTCACTGGAGTCCTTTGATCCTTTTCCCCAGGATGCAACCCGCAACTGTTGGCTAATGCCCAGGTATCTACTGACTGCTAGTTGAACAAGGTCAGTAAGTTTATTCCATATACTGTATAGTTTAAATTACCTAGGATAACCTAAAAAAGTCAAAGTGACTTATTTCCATTGGAGTCCTTGTAAGGAAACATGTCTGTTTCCACTAAATGAGTCACCAAACTAATTTTTGAGACCGTATCAATATCCCAATACAATGAAACAACAGATAAGTTTTTTGTTCCATAAACAGTATCTACAATGTTGTATTTTGCATAAACAGTACTCTTATCAAGATACCTTGATGCTAGTAAAGTGCTCTTATTTCAAGGAAATGGAGCTATCTTTTCCTCTGACTGAACCTGATTACTTCTGAATCCTCAGGGTTGTATGACATACGGGTTTAGCACTTCCCTGGGAATACAATAAGACTACAGGCACACAACACTGCTTACTGCACTTGGCTCACACCTGGTTATGATTATTATTATTATTATAATCATAACTAAGTGCTAAACCCACAAGGGTCATACAGCACTGGTTTACACCAGAGAGTAGATACGTGGAGTCGATCTGCACTATTAGGAGGGAAGTACACACAAGTTTTTTAATACCTACTGCCCTCTGCCTAACATTAAATAAATTACTGGGAACTAGTTGGTTATTTTGAGTCATATCCTGAGGAAGGATATAAAAAAAAACACTGGAAACAATCCAAACTGACTGGTTTTTCTGGGTTACTAAGCCTTTGGGGGTTAATAATCCAAATAACTTTGTCAAATGATTTAATCAATGATAACCAAAGGAAACTTCATCACTGCAAAACATATTATTATTATTATTATTATTATTATTATTATTATTATTATTATTATTATTATTATGTAGAAGTGCTAAACCCATTAGGGTCATAAAGCACCTGAGGGAACATGAAATAATCCAATTCGATTTGAGAAAAGTGAGGAGAAAGGAGGTTCTTGATCCAAAGAATTGGAGCTGGTACCCTTGGATCTAGCCTGAATGTTTCTCATTCCCAAGTTGCTGAATGACACATATGAAGTCTTCACTCCCATGAATGTAATAATAATGAAAGGTAGTTCATCAGATCAAGAGCCCTTCATCAGCATCAAGGCACCAACCTTGAAGAATCAAGGTAGTGGATGGTGGATCAAAATCCCTGAATCAAGATCCCTTGGGTGGCCTCACATGGTAATATACTGGAAGAATATACACTAGTCAGTACATAAATATCATGCAATACCTGTATAAGTTACTATATTACATTTATGATGACGTTTTCTTCACCACATTTTTACAATAAATAAACTTATTTTGATATGGGAGGAAGCTCTAAACCCACACAACAACTGTAGCAGTCGACGTTCAAACCAAACAACTTTTCATAAATAAAATACCATAAGTGGCATATATTAGGTGTCACACACTAACATAAAGGAAGCAGAGCAGCACTTGTGTGTCTGGTGATCCATCAGTAACTCACCCGATCCATATATTACCATTGGGCATCTTTTTCCTGAAGAGTAACACTGAGAGTCTCATGTTGTTGGTGTCTCAGATCATCATCATCATCCCTCAAACACTACCTTACTTACTGACCTTATTTACGCACATTATTACTTATAACTAAGTGCTAAACCCACAAGGGTCATATAGCATTTATTTAGGTACAGGTACACGTAAATACAATTATCATAGAGTGTAAATTACCTAGGATAACCCCCCCCCCCCCAAAAAAAAAAAAAGTCAAAGACTTATTTCCATTAGGGTCCTTGTATTACTCTTAACATTATATCCCCCTTGATTATAATAATAATAATTAACATTATAATTACATTCTCGAGGACCCACAGTGGAAAATTTATCATCTGCAACTGTAAGTGTATTATATAGGGTTAACATTTACCCGTAAGTATAATATGGGGACTAATATTTACTTTAGATGGGCTGGTCTGAACCCGACTTTTATTTTTATTCATCTTAAATATAAGAAAACTAGTTATACCCCGACAAGAATTGTAATATATTATGCAAATTGTTATTTGGAGAGATACTAACAAAAATAATTAGTTGTGCCTGGGGAATCACAGCAGCGTAATTAAAGATGCAACTATTGTAAAAAAAGAAACGTCATTCCCACACCTACCGCTGGTGGATTAAGGTTACGTTAGGTTATTTTACAATGAGTTACGTTTCTTACCATTTCCACAAAACAAAGTTACGTCCATGGCATATTATTATTATTATAATCAAAAAGAAGCGCTAAGCCACAAGGGCTATACAGCTGTCCATGGCATAACCCATCTAATATTGGACATTTTAAGTTATCAATCAATTATTACAATCAAAACTAAGCGCTAAACCCACAAAGTCATACAGTTTAAGTTGTCAGTCAACCCAATAAGAATTATACATTGATCAAGTACTGAGTCAGGATTGATCCAAATATGTAGAGGGCAGCGCCAATTTTCTGGATCAAGAGACCTTTATTGAACTCAAGGTACCTCTTGAAGGGACAATATATGGGAATCTTTATTGAATTCAATTCAAATTCAAAGTTTATTCTCTATAAGGATTACAATGCTGAGTTTACAGAAATTTGGTTATTGTTTGGTTTACATGTAGTAAAATAGTGATTACAGAGTGTACCGCTAGAACGCTTAGCATGGCTAGGCATTTCGGGCAGACTTAGTTTTATTCTTAATTGTAAAATATTACAAATTATGAGGTAAGTTGGTATTATGGCTAAGTGACTAAATACTAGTTTGTGAGTTTAGCAATGTGAATGCTTTTGTTTTGGCACAGTACATAGTTTCAGTATTGGAGTATCACAGGATTCATTATTTTAAGACTGAGATTAATATTTCTGTTTATGGTCAAATGAGTGAGTGTAAGTGTGAACCACCAGGTGGTATTCGTGTAGTTAGTTGATGGGGTGTATCAGGGAGATGAAGGTGATGAATGTGTCTGCAGTTCTAGAGTTCTCAGGTAGGGCCCTAAAATCTGGAATACCCTACCTGAGAACTCTAGAACTGCAGACACATTCATCACCTTCAAAACTACCATTAGAAAACATCTTATCTCCCTGATACACCCCGTCAACTAACTACACGAATACCACCTGGTGGTTCACACTTACACTCGCTCACTCATTTGACCATAAACAGAAATATTAATCTCAGTCTTAAAATAATGAATCCTGTGATACTCCAATACTGAAACTATGTACTGTGCCAAAACAAAAGCATTCACATTGCTAAAATCACAAACTAGTATTTAGTCACTTAGCCATAATACCAACTTACCTCATAATTTGTAATATTTTACAATTAAGAATAAAACTAAGTCTGCCCGAAATGCCTAGCCATGCTAAGCGTTCTAGTGGTACACTCTGTAATCACTATTTTACTACATGTAAACCAAACAATAACCAAATTTCTGTAAACTCAGCATTGTAATCCTTATAGAGAATAAACTTTGAATTTGAATTGAATTTGAATTTCACCACACAGTGGCTTTATCAGTCCAATACAAAGCAGGGAGGTATAAGGAGAGGATTATTATTATTATAATCAAGGGGGAAGTGCTAAACCCGGAGGATTATACAGCGCCTGGGGGGGGGGGAATGTGGAAGGCATTCAGGCTTAATTCGGGGAACTGGAGCACAGATCCAATTCCCTAAATCAAGAGCCCCTCACCAACATCAAGGAACCTTCCTTGAGGGGAAGGAGAGGAGGAGTTGAGGTAATCATTCCGTCAGCCTGGAATCAATGTGTTCAGTCCATCACTCCCCTCAAGGGAGGTTCCTTGATGCTGGTGAGGGGCTCTTGATCTAGGGAATTGGATCTGTGCTCCATTATTATTATTATCAAAAAGAAGCGCTAAACCACGAGGACTATACAGCAGGATCTGTGCTCCAGTTCCCTGAATTGAGCCTGAATACCTTCCATCCCCCCACATGCGCTGTATAACCCTATGGGTTTAGCGCTTCCCTGTGATTTAAGATAAATATATAAAATCGGTCCATCACATCTATTATTATTATCAAAAAGAAGCGCTAAGCCACAAGGGCTATACAACGCTGCTCCATCACTCTGAAAGTTGCTGGGGTTATGGGCTGAATTATTATATTAGGAATTATACAGTGTCTGGGGAATGGGAAGCATTCAGGTTTCATCCAAGGAAGAGGATTTATGAGGAGCGCTAAACCCGTACGGATTATACAGCGCCTGTGTGGGGGGATATGGAAGGTATTCAGGCTCGATTCAGGTTACTGGAGCACAGATCCAATTCCCTAGATCAAGAGCCCCTCACTAGCATCAAGGACCATCCCTTGAGGGGACCAAGGAAGAGGAGAGCAGGTCCAATTCCTTTGATTCAAGATCACCTCATCAACTTCAAGGAACCTTCCTTGAGTAATTAAAGGGGCGACACTACTTGAAGATTCTATGTAGATGACATATTATTATTATTATAATCAAGGGGGAAGCGCTAAACCCGGAGGATTATACAGCGCCTGGGGGGGGGATGTGGAAGGCATTCAGGCTTAATTCGGGGAACTGGAGCACAGATCCAATTCCCTAAATCAAGAGCCCCTCACCAACATCAAGGAACCTTCCTTGAGGGGTGTAGATGACATAGCAATGGCCCAGAAATTACTTTTATTTAAAATATTACAAAATAAGTTATGAAGATGTTTTTGTGACTTGTTAATGGTCCAACTCAGATCAAAATGCAGTCATAAGTTTGTCTAGTGTGAATTATTTGTGTAAGCAATTCTTTGCACACAATTTTGTAATTGTGTCACAGCCAACATTTCCTGTGGGGATTTATGAAACACTGTACATTATTATTATTATAATCAGAACTAAGCACTAAACCCACAAGGGCCATACAGCGCTGAAAATACTGTACAGTATTATTTTTTCAGGCACCGCCAACCAACATTAAAAAGTTCCATGCTAGAAAAAATAATTGCGTCAGAAAAGGCACACCTTATATATTGACCAGTTATTGGAATGAACTGGAGAATCCATTAGATGCTGTGGGCCAATTGCCTCTTCATGTGCACTGGGGGTGCACATGAAGAGGCAACTGTGAACCTGTATATTATTATAATCAAAAAGAAGTGCTAAGCCAATGTGAACCTGTATAAAATCTATTAGTTCTGTATCATATGCAGAAAAATGCATTTTCGTGTTATTTCATTGTAAATTAATTTTATTTTAATCATGAGTCACACAGTGCTTGGGGAATGCAAAGCATTTAGGTTAAATCAAAAAGGAAGATTAAGTTAAATGTTCATGAAGAGCCCTTCACTGACATAATGGCCTCTCCCATGAAAAGTAGTGCATGATCAGTCCATTAATGGCCTTAAGGAACGTTCCTTGAGGGGTATTGACACACAAGCACTTAACCTTTAGGTGTCTTAAGGGGAATGGGAAACATTCAAGTTTATAATCCCAGATAGCAGGTCAAATTCCTTGGATCAAGAGCCCTTGTGGCCCGTGGACTGGTGGCAAAGCTCTCGCTTCACACACCGAGGGTCCAGGTTCAATTCCCAGCAAGTGTAGAAACAGGCGTGTTTACTTCCACTGGTTGTCCATGTTCACCCATCAGTAAAAATATGTATCTGGGTATTAGTCGACTGGTGTGGGTTGCATCCTGGGGCAAAATGGACCTAATTTGCCCGAAATGCTCTGCATAATAGGTGGCTTTCTATGTTGTAGTGTCATTGATGTCAGCTGGGCTGATGTATTAAGAAAAAATATATATATACGTATATACTGTATATAAATATATTTATGTCAAGGAACTTCCAATTATTATTATTATAATCAAAAAGAAGCGCTAAGCCACAAGGACTATATAGCAGGAACTTCCAATGAGGGCAGGGGGAAGGTTTAAAAACATCGAACCTACATGTTCTAGAGTATGACTAAAGCATTCAAATAATAATGGGAGGTACCCTAGACACACCATTTCTCAACTGTGAATCCATTTGCAATATAGATTTAAAATTTATTAAAAAATTAGACACGAGACTCCTTGCCTGATTATATTCATGGGAAAGCACTAAACCAATAGGGGTGATGCCATACTTAGGGATGGGAGGTTATCAGGTTTGATTCAAGGGGTAGGGTACCTCAAATTACTTGGATCAAGAATCCCTTACATGCTTCAGGCACTCTAACTGATGGGATAGTAGACATTAATGTACAGTGGACCCTCGCCTAACGAACGCATTGCATAACGTTAAATCCGGCTAGTGATACATTTTAATGCAAAAATTGTTTCGGCTAGCGCTAAAAAACTCGCCCAACGCGATTCGACAGCGTCCACTTGTCCCGTGGGTTCCAGTGTTTACAAGCCAGCCACCGCAGGCGCATCCAAACATACAATCAGAACATTTCATATTATCACAGCCTTTTTAGTGATTGCACCTGCAGTCACCATGGGCTCCAAGAAAGCTTCTAGTGCCAACCCTACAGCAAAAAGGGTGAGAATTTCTATGGATATGAAGAGAGAGATCATTGCCAAGTATGAAAGTGGAGTGCGTGTCTCCGAGCTGGCCAGGTTGTACACAAAACCCACAATCAACCATCGCTACTATTGTGGCCAAGAAAACGGCAATCAAGGAAGCTGTTCTTGCCAAAGGTGCAACTATGTTTTTGAAAGAGATCGCAAGTGATAGAAGATGTTGAGAGACTGTTATTGGTGTGGATAAACGAGAAACAGATTGCAGGAGATAGCATCTCTCAAGCGATCATATTTGAAAAGGCTAGGAAGTTGCATGACGATTTAATTGGAAAAATGCCTGCAACTGGTGGTGATGTGAGTGAATTTAAGGCCAGCAAAGGTTGGTTTGAGAGATTTAAGAATCGTAGTGGCATACATAGTGTAATAAGGCATGGTGAGGCTGCCAGTTTGGTCCAAAAAGCAGCTGAAAAATATGCGAAGGAATTCAAGGATTACATAGACAGTGAAGAATTGAAACCTGAACAAGTGTTTAATTGTGACGAAACAGGCCTGTTTTGGAAGAAAATGCCAAGCAGGACCTACATTACTCAGGAGGAAAAGGCACTCCCAGGACATAAGCCTATGAAAGACAGGCTTACTCTGTTGATGTGTGCTAATGTTAGTGGTGAGGAAACTGCACCGGAGGAGGGGATAGAGAAATTGAGGAAGTTGCCTACTTCAAAGATTAAGGAAATGTGTGCAATGTGGCTTAAAGTGCAAACTTTTTTTGATGAAAAATCACCCTCACACAGCTATTGCAAGCCGTGCTGGTGACTATTACACTGACAATGTTGTGAAACACTTTAGGAATGTCATAAAGGAACAGGAGGTACAGGCCTCTATGGACATATATGTTGTGCAACAGAGGTCCAGTGACTCTCAAGCTGGTCCTAGTGGCATTAAAAGAAGAAGGGAAGTAACCCCAGAAAAGGACTTGACATCTCAAGTCCTAATGGAAGGGGATTCCCCTTCTAAACATTACCACCATCCACACTCACCCCTCCTCCCATCCCATCAATCATCACCAGATCTTCAATAAAGGAAAGTGTCATGTAATTGTACATGTCTTCTTCAGTTTGTGTATTAAAATTAATATTTCATGTAGTAAAAAAATTTTTTTTTCCATACTTTGGGGTGTCAGGAACGGATTAATTTGATTTCCATTATTTCTTATGGAGAAAATTAATTCGGCTAACGATAATTTCGCCTAACGTTGAGCTCTCAGGAACGGATTAATATCGTTAGGCGAGGGTCCACTGTACTTAAATTCTGAAGGATGGAAGGTGTAAGACTTGAAGAACACTTGACCCTGAGATTACCTGGCTCTTGGCAATAAGTATATCTGTCCAAGATAAACCAAAGGTAAAACAAAATTAAAAACTACAGCTGAAAACACACAACACAAATACTATCACAATAAATCGAAAATATTGTACATCATTAAAAAAAAAAGAAAGTGTAAAAGTCAAGACACCTAAATTTCTCCATGGTTTCTACAAGCACCCAAACAATTAAAAACCCATGATAAATTTAAATGTACTTCAGTCAACAGCCCATCTAGTCTGACTGATGGGGTAAGAGCACATACAACCAGGTAATGCCGTATCTTAGTCCAGAAACAAAATTATATTTAGAAAAAATGAACAAATACCTACCACACCACAACATTCCTGTGCTGCTGTTTAAACACCAGCAGATTGTTATAATCAAAAAGAGGCACTAAACCTACAAGGGTCACACAGTGCAAACACCAGCAAAACTTACAAGAACAAGAGCTACTTAAATGTACATAACTTGAGGTGTACAAGTACAGAATTAAAAAAACTGAAACCATGTTTCAAACCAAGCATGCATGCAAATGCAAACATTACTAAAATTACAGGGTCAGATACATTAGTACGTAACTTTTTTTTTTAAATTTAATCAGCAGAAAAGTAACCCCCAAAAAACTTACTGAATAGCTCATCAGAAGTGAATGGTTATCACAGTTCAGATGACCCTCTGAACAGCAGCATCCTCACCCATTCTTCTGTGCAGGCACTGTACTTTCCACCTCCAGGCTTCCCCAAACCTCATGTTACCATACTCACATTTCAAACCCTAAAACCCACGTTCCAATTTCCCCCATTCTATTAGACTGTCCTGTCTGTCAATGAGCACACAGAATTTTCCTCCAACATCATCACCACTATGACAGCCTTACTTTATCCTCCCTCGCTGACAGCCCCACCTCTGACAGACTCCTTTTGACAGCAATCAATTTTTTACACAACTTCGATTATCCTTCCTTTAGCACTCCTCACAGCCCTTTCTAACTCTCCTCCGTTATCCTCGCCACCCTTGCTACTCTATGATACTGCACTACCCCCTGCACTGCTGTGCTGTATGACCCTCATGGGTTTAGCACTTCTTTTTGATAATAATAATTAGCTCATTCTGCCCACACACACACACACAGCTGCTTTATGCTAAAGCTACTACCACTTATAGCCTGTTTCATGTCTCCCCTTCAATCCTTCCTTGGGACTTTAGATTTCTGTATAATAGGGACATTAAAATTGCAATTTATACAAAAAACTTTATTTTAGAAAAAACAAAAATGTGACTGCACTGTAAAGACTGTCTATATAAAAAAAAAAAAATCAAGACCTGCAGATTATTACATTATAAAATTATAGTTCTACTTTATTAATGCTCATTCAACCAATTACTGTACACAGCAGTAAATTCACAAATATTATAAAATTCCATTGGATATATGAATTAATGCATTCAGCACTTCAAAAACTGATATATATATTTTAACACTGAAATATCTGACTAATTCAAATTCCTAGCAGTTATAATACTGTAGTACTGTACTGCATAATGTACTTCAAAATGTCTGTTAGTTATTAAAAACCATGCATTACAGTACTCAGTGACAACATTTAAGATCTGATCATGATCCTAGCATCCTTAACATATAGGTTGCCACATTCTTTGTACAAAATGGACAACTTTCCATTTGGTATTGTTAAAGCCGACACTTAACGGCGTGGTGGACCACCTCTGCCTCTGCCTCTAGGACCTCCACGGCCTCGGCCACGTCCGCCTCGTCCACGACCACGACCACCCATGCCTGTAAATGAAGATAAACATGGGCAATCAATACAAGTTTTTCCTCTATCTTGTAATAGAAGCAAGATAGATAATCCTAAGATTTTGGAATACGAGATTTAAAAAAAAAAAAACAAAAAAAAAAAAAAATGTAATTTTAATTTAAAATTCACCTGTAGTAATACTCCAAACCAAATTATAACTCTTTTCATGAAAATTCCTTTAATGAAATCCTAGTGAAACTTTCAATTTTTTTTAAATTACCTTAATGAAAAACGTATCTTCTGATATTGAAAAATAAATTAAACATCCAATATTATTTCTGTAACCACCATCACTTCCCCTCCTGAAACTATGCATTTTATGTATTCACTGTCTACCACTCATACTGGGTATACAAAGGAACTTAAGAGAGTCCATACCAAATTTATATTCTCTGAAATGTGACCTAAGACATGAACAGTAAAGGTTCAAATGTATAAAGAAAAGCTTGTAGCATATTTTAATACTAAGGTCAAACAACATAGTAGACCCTCCATATAATGGATTTAAGAAGTATGTGACAAAATCTACTGGATCACTCAATTTGGAAACAATGGACAAACTGTTAGATACAACTGCCATTACTGGCCACCTGCTCTCCCCAATTAGTCCACTATATGGAGGGCTTACACTATTTCATTAATTTTACAAAGGATATATTAATAATTTTACTGATTACCAATGAGGCCCTTACAAGAAAGTCACTTTTCTAAAGCTATATCTTAAATGAAATTTTCTACTTTTTGCATTCAATTAAACACCAATTCTGACAAGAGCAAAATATGCAAAAAAATATATATATACAGTGGACCCCCGCATAACGATCACCTCCGAATGCGACCAATTATGTAAGTGTATTTATGTAAGTGCGTTTGTACGTGTATGTTTGGGGGTCTGAAATGGACTAATCTACTTCACAATATTCCTTATGGGAACAAATTCGGTCAGTACTGGCACCAGAACATACTTCTGGATTGAAAAAATATCGTTAACCGGGGGTCCACTGTATATGTGGATCTTTTGCTGATTCATCACTCACATCTATATATAACCTATCAAAAGTGGCCATGAACCACTTTGCTGGCAATGAACATTTAAATCTAGCATACAACCAGTGAAAAACACAAGACCCCATAGCTTAAAGCCATGTGAAGACCATAATGGTCTAGAATCACACAATACACTTAAATATATACAGTGGACCCTCGACCAACGATGGCATCGATTAACGATAAATCCGACTAGCGATACATTTTAACGCAAAATTTTGCCTCGACTAGCGCTAAAAAACTCGATCAACACTATTCGTTCCGTCTGAGACGCGTCCACTTCTGGCCAGTGTTTACAAGCCAGCCAGCCAGCGCGGTCGCTTCCAAGCATACAATCGGAACATTTCATATTATCACAGCCTTTTTAGTGATTGCACCTGCAAAATAAGTCACCATGGGCCCCAAGAAAGCTTCTAGTGCCAACCCTACAGCAAAAAGGGTGAGAATTACTATGGATATGAAGAAAGAGATCATTGCTAAGTATGAAAGTGGAGTGCGTGTCTCCGAGTTGGCCAGGTTGTACACAAAACCCCAATCAACCATCGCTACTATTGTGGGCAAGAAAACGGCAATCAAGGAAGCTGTTCTTGCCAAAGGTGCAACTATGTTTTCGAAACTGAGATAGCAAGTACTCGAAGATGTTGAGAGACTGTTATTGGTGTGGATAAACGAAAAACAGATAGCAGGAGATAGCATCTCTCAAGCGATCATAGGTGAAAAGGCTAGGAAGTTGCATGACGATTTAATTAAAAAAATGCCAGCAACTAGTGGTGATGCGAGTGAATTTAAGGCGAGCAAAGGTTGGTTTGAGACATTTAAAGGGAAGGGAAGTAACCCCGGAAAAGAACTTGCCACCTCAAGTCCTAATGGAAGGGGATTCCCCTTCTAAACACTAAGACCATCAACACTCTCCCCTCCTCCCATCCCATCAATCATCACCTGATCTTCAATAAAGGTAAGTGTCATGTAACTGTGCATGTCTTCTTCAGTTTGTGTGTATTAAAATTAATATTTCATGTGGTAAAAACAATTTTTTTTTCATACTTTGGGGTGTCCTACACGGATTAATTTGATTTCCATTATTTCTTATGGGGAAAATTAACTTGACTAACGATAATTTTGACTAACGATGAGCTCTCAGGAACGGATTAATAGCGTTAGTCGAGGGTCCACTGTACATTAATTTGGAACTGGTTATGAGAATAAGAGGTTGCATTTTCATTCAGAAAATTAGATGAACTACCCCTCATCCAAGACATTAGTGCTGTGCCTATACCGTTTACAAATTGCATAATCTAAATTATGTCCAAAACAATTTACATACTTAATAAGATAAACAAACACCGTACAGCTTTCCATATACATGTATTTTAACTATGTGGTGCTGATAGGAGACTGAATGAAGGTATAATGTTATGGACATATAGAATGAGCATGTCTGACTTTCAAGATTGCTGCAATATGCCAAATGCAAAATATATACAGTGGACCCCCGCATGCCGTTGGCATCACATAACGTTAAATCCGCATACCGATACATTTTATCGCTAAGATTTTGCCTCGCATACCGCTAAAAAACCCGCTCAACGCTATTCGTCCGAGACGCGTCTAATGTGCGGCCTGAGCCAGCCTCACATGTTCCGCCGGTGGCATTGTTTACCAGCCAGCCTCCGCGGTAACATCCAAGCATACAATCGGAACATTTCGTATTATTACAGTGTTTTTGGTGATTTTATCTGCAAAATAAGTGACCATGGGCCCCAAGAAAGCTTCTAGTGCCAACCCTACAGGAATAAGGGTGAGAATTACTATAGAGATAAAGAAAGAGATCATTGCTAAGTATGAAAGTGGAGTGCATGTCTCCGAGCTGGCCAGGTTGTATAGTAAACCCCAATCAACCATCGCTACTATTGTGTCCAACAAAACGGCAATCAAAGAAGCTGTTCTTGCCAAAGGTTCAACTGTGTTTTCGAAACAGAGATCGCAAGTGATGGAAGATGTTGAGAGACTCTTATTGGTGTGGATAAATGAAAAACAGATAGCAGGAGATAGCATCTCTCAAGTGATCATAAGTGAAAAGGCTAGGAAGTTGCATGAGGATTTAATTAAAAAAAATGCCTGCAACTAGTGATGATGTGAGTGAATTTAAGGCCAGCAAAGGTTGGTTTGAGAGATTTAAGAAGCGTAGTGGCATACATAGTGTGATAAGGCATGGTGAGGCTGCCAGTTCGGACCACAAAGCAGCTGAAAAATATGTGCAGGAATTCAAGGAGTACATAGACAGTGAAGGACTGAAACCTGAACAAGTGTTTAATTGTGATGAAACAGGCCTGTTTTGGAAGAAAATGCCAAGCAGGACCTACATTACTCAGGAGGAAAAGGCACTCCCAGGACATAAGCCTATGAAAGACAGGCTTACTCTGTTGATGTGTTCCAATGCTAGTGGTGATTGCAAAGTGAAGCCTTTATTAGTGTATCACTCAGAAACTCCCAGAGCGTTCAGGCAAAAGAATATCCTCAAGGCTAATTTGTGTGTGCTGTGGAGGGCAAACAGTAAGGCATGAGTCACTAAGGACTTTTTCTATGACTGGTTACACCAAGCATTTGCCCCCAATGTGAAAGATTACCTAACTGAAAAGAAATTAGACCTTAAGTGCCTCCTGGTGTTAGACAATGCCCCTGGTCATCCTACAGACGTGGCAGAGTGACTTTATGGGGACATGAGCTTCATTAAGGTGAAGTTTTTGCCTCCTAATACCACTCCTCTCCTGCAGCCCATGGACCAGCAGGTTATTGCAAACTTCAAAAAATTGTACACAAAAGCTCTGTTTGAAAGGTGCTTTGTAGTGACCTCAGAAACTCAGATGACTCTAAGAGAGTTTTGGAGAGAGCACTTTAATATCCTCAATTATGTAAACCTTATAGGTAAGGCTTGGGAGGGAGTGACTAAGAGGACCTTGAACTCTGCTTGGAGGAAATTGTGGCCACAATGTGCCAACCAAAGGGATTTTGTAAGAAAGTTGGTAGAATTACCGACAATATGTAAAGTAAAAGGACACAAGTGCAACTAATGTGACATTTATTGTGGCAACGTTTCGCTCTCCAGGAGCTTTATCAAGCCATGGCTTGATAAAGCTCCTGGAGAGCGAAACGTTGCCACAATAAATGTCACATTAGTTGCACTTGTGTCCTTTTACTTACAAAGGGATTTTGAAGGGTTTGAGGCTAACCCTGGGAATCCTATGCCAGTTGAGGAATCCATTGTGGCATTGGGAAAGTCCTTGGGGTTGGAGGTTAGTGGGGATGATGTGGAAGAGTTGGTGGAGGAGGACAATGAAGAACTAACCACTGATGAGCTGCTAGATCATCTTCATCAGCATGAGGCCAGACCTGAGGAAACTGCTTCGGAGGAGGGGAGAGAGAAATTGAAGAAGTTGCCTACTTCAAAGATTAAGGAAATGTGTGGAATGTGGCTTAAAGTGCAAACCTTTTTTGATGACAATCACCCTAACACAGCTATTGCAAGCCGTGCTGGTGATTATTACACTGACAATGTTGTGAACCACTTTAGGAAAGTCATAAAGGAACAGGAGGTACAGGCCTCTATGGACAGATATGTTGTGCAACAGAAGTCCAGTGACTCTGAAGCTGGTCCTAGTGGCATTAAAAGAAGAAGGGAAGTAACCCCGGAAAAGGACTTGACACCTCAAGTCTTAATGGAAGGGGATTCTCCTTCTAAACACTAAGACTCTCTCCTCCTCCAATCCCATCAATCATCACCAGATCTTCAATAAAGGTAAGTGTCATGTAACTGCACATGTCTTTTTCAGTTTGTGTGTATTAAAATTAATATTTCATGTGGTAAAAATTTTTTTTTTCATACTTTGGGGTGTCTTGCACGGATTAATTTGATTTCGATTATTTCTTATGGGGAAAATTCATTCGCATAACGATAATTTCGCATAACAATGAGCTCTCAGGAACGGATTAATATCGTTATGCGGGGGTCCACTGTACCTACCATCCGACTTACGACCTACTCGACACACGTCCACTCGACTTACGAACGTGCATCTGGCAGCTGGGCTGGGCCAGCCCGGCTGATGCACACCACTGTACAATATTTGACAATACTCGCGGGGCCAATGTGTCATGCAGGCAGCATCAGTTTGAGTAACCCTGCCCTATCAGCAGCATCATACTGTATTAACTGTACTAACTGGACAGTAAATTTCACCATGGCCCCTAAGATGAAGTCTGAATCTTGCACTGGAGATTGTGGCAAGAAAGGCTCTTACTCTCCAACTCTCTATTTGTTTTCACTGTTGCACATAAACCTGTCTGTATCTGTCTGCCTGTATATCTGTCTGTATCTGTCTACTAGTGTGTGTGTCTTTCTGTCTACCTGTGTCTGTCTGTCTACCTGTGTGTCTTTCTGTCTACCTGTGTCTGTCTACCTGTGTGTCTGTCTTTCTGTCTACATGTGTGTGTCTTTGTCTACCTGTGTCTTTCTGTCTACCTGTGTCTGTCTTTGTCTGCTTGTCTGTCTCAGAGCCACTCATTAAGAGTGTACTTGGTCTTGAAGATGCCATATTAATAATGATGATAATAACCACTGAGGTGCATTAAATGTGTATAAAACATTAATATAGACATTTTGCTTAATCCATCTATGATTTATTTTCAAAATTATATAATAAACATGCTACATAACATACAAAATCAACAAATATGAGATGTTTTTCTGGTCGGCTTGACAGTGAACAGGAACCGTTCGTGTCCGGGCTGGTAACAACAACAACGTTTGTTTACATAACTCGTGAACATTCTACATTCTCATTCTCTCTCATTTATTCATTTAATCTTGTTTACTCACCTCTCACTCTACATTAAAACCACAGATATTTTAAGGTAAGTAATGAGTGGACACGATTATTACATTATAGCTTAATAATAATAATAATAATATTGGCAGAGAGCATGTATAGTCCCTTTATATAAAGGGAAAGGGGACAAAAGAGACTGTAAAAATTATAGAGGAATAAGCTTACTGAGTATACCAGGAAAAGTGTACGGTAGGGTTATAATTGAAAGAATTAGAGGTAAGACAGAATGTAGGATTGCGGATGAGCAAGGAGGTTTTAGAGTGGGTAGGGGATGTGTAGATCAGGTGTTTACATTGAAGCATATATGTGAACAGTATTTAGATAAAGATAGGGAAGTTTTTATTGCATTTATGGATTTAGAAAAGGCATATGATAGAGTGGATAGAGGAGCAATGTGGCAGATGTTGCAAGTATATGGAATAGGTGGTAAGTTATTAAATGCTGTAAAGAGTTTTTATGAGGATAGTGAGGCTCAGGTTAGGGTGTGTAGAAGAGAGGGAGACTACTTCCCGGTAAAAGTAGGTCTTAGACAGGGATGTGTAATGTCACCATGGTTGTTTAATATATTTATAGATGGGGTTGTAAAGGAAGTAAATGCTAGGGTGTTTGGGAGAGGGGTGGGATTAAATTATGGGGAATCAAATTCAAAATGGGAATTGACACAGTTACTTTTTGCTGATGATACTGTGCTTATGGGAGATTCTAAAGAAAAATTGCAAAGGTTAGTGGATGAGTTTGGGAATGTGTGTAAAGGTAGAAAGTTGAAAGTGAACATAGAAAAGAGTAAGGTGATGAGGGTGTCAAATGATTTAGATAAAGAAAAATTGGATATCAAATTGGGGAGGAGGAGTATGGAAGAAGTGAATGTTTTCAGATACTTGGGAGTTGACGTGTCGGCGGATGGATTTATGAAGGATGAGGTTAATCATAGAATTGATGAGGGAAAAAAGGTGAGTGGTGCGTTGAGGTATATGTGGAGTCAAAAAACGTTATCTATGGAGGCAAAGAAGGGAATGTATGAAAGTATAGTAGTACCAACACTCTTATATGGGTGTGAAGCTTGGGTGGTAAATGCAGCAGCGAGGAGACGGTTGGAGGCAGCGGAGATGTCCTGTTTAAGGGCAATGTGTGGTGTAAATATTATGCAGAAAATTCGGAGTGTGGAAATTAGGAGAAGGTGTGGAGTTAATAAAAGTATTAGTCAGAGGGCAGAAGAGGGGTTGTTGAGGTGGTTTGGTCATTTAGAGAGAATGGATCACAGTAGAATGACATGGAAAGCATATAAATCTATAGGGGAAGGAAGGCGGGGTAGGGGTCGTCCTCGAAAGGGTTGGAGAGAGGGGGTAAAGGAGGTTTTGTGGGTAAGGGGCTTGGACTTCCAGCAAGCGTGCGTGAGCGTGTTAGATAGGAGTGGAGACGAATGGTACTTGGGACCTGACGATCTGTTGGAGTGTGAGCAGGGTAATATTTAGTGAAGGGATTCAGGGAAACCGGTTATTTTCATATAGTCGGACTTGAGTCCTGGAAATGGGAAGTACAATGCCTGCACTTTAAAGGAGGGGTTTGGGATATTGGCAGTTTGGAGGGATATGTTGTGTATCTTTATATGTTTATGCTTCTAGACTGTTGTATTCTGAGCACCTCTGCAAAAACAGTGATAATGTGCGAGTGTGGTGAAAGTGTTGAATGATGATGAAAGTATTTTCTTTTTGGGGATTTTCTTTCTTTTTTGGGTCACCCTGCCTCGGTGGGAGACGGCCGACTTGTTGAAAAAAAAAAAATGTATTATTGTAATAATAATGATTATTAATCTTATTAATTTAGGGCACTGGAGCACAGATCCACTGTATAGCACTTTGTCTGGATTTTTTTGGGTTATCCTAGGTAATTACGTGTACAAGTGAGAGTGAGAGAGAGAGAGAGAGATACAGAGACAGCCACATTCGGTCAGCCAGTCAGCCAACTACCCACCCACCCATCCAGCACCCGCCCGCCCGCCCTCCAGCCACCCGCCTGCCCCCCATCCAGCCACCCGCCCACCCATCACCACCGTCCCAGCCACCCACCCATTATCCAGCCACCCAACCACCCATCCAGCCAGACACCCACTCACCCAGCCAACCACAGACCCGGCCACCCAGCCAGATACGTATTACACATGTTCCAGAGTTGCTTCTCTTTACTTAGGGTATAGGGTATACTACATTCTGGCAGGACGTGTTACCAGTGGTATTCTCCCATTCCACTGTGTCGACAATACATAAAGATAATAGTAACATATGATACTGTATGCGATGTAAAATTTACAATACATATCACTACCAAGTATACATTATATACAGTACATAAATAATTAAAATACAACAATAGAAGTAAATTATGGTATAAAGAATGAAATAATGATTGTACATTACATTACAGTATTATGTAGGTAGTTTATATAGGAAAGTTTTGACATTATGCCCTACCCAATATGTCGGCAATTTTCAAAGGTTCGACTTACGTCCATTTCGACTTACGACCGGTTGGTCGGAACCAAGCTTGATCGTAAGTCGGATGGTAGGTGTAGATGATGTGAATAATGAAGAATAAAAATTCAACCAAATTCAATTATTATGAATTTGAAATGTTCTTTAAAATTCAAAATTTCCCATTCCAAAAAATTCTTTAATATTTTAATGCAGATTTTAGACATGCTTGAAATGCTTTCTAGTAAGTAAATACTTCCCAAATATTTAAATTCAGGATGTTAGCCAACATTTGCATAGTTTTCCAATGTTCAACAAAAATTATACGAGCTGATTCGCGTTTTCGAGCAGCCTGACATTTTTTTATGAATATGAGAGAAAGCTTCCTGAATGCATGAAACCTAAAAATTACTTTCCATGGCCAGTGGAACTGTAACTGCCACTATTTCACAAGGCAAATATTACTATTATTATTCTCTGAACCAATTTATATATGCAACTGACCATTTGTTATTTGCAACCTATATTATACTTGTGATTGTAGTTAACTGCACAAGAAGTCTTACATAATATGCTATGTCTAGTTTTTAATAGCAAGTAAGTCTTATGATTAGTTGCCCAAAATGCCCTGCATATTTAGTGACTTTCTTTGTGCCCCTTTTGTCCTAATTCATGTATACCTACTGCATTCCTTGTTTGGCTCTAAGAAATAAAAATTATCACTTTCATTATTATTAATGGTATAATTAATCTAAGAGCTAAACCCTAAGGGTCATACAGCACTGATAAATACTAATACCGTGTCACAAATGGAGCTAATGCACTATGAATCATATTATTATTACAAAATAATGAAATCTTGAGATAACGATGAGCTTACCACGTCCACGATCTGACCGACCCCTCCTTGCTCTGGGACCATCATCAATCAGCAGATTTTCCAGTGGGAGAGACTCTGGTAAGATGAAGTAACGGATGTTGTTGCCTCGTATGGTTAGTGTATCATAACTAACTGGGTCATGATTCTTTAGTGTCATTTTTACACTTTTTAAATGAGTGTTCATTGCCACATCCACACCTGTTGGAAGTGTAAGCTTAGTTAGTAAAATAAAGTAACAGTATTTTATCCTCATTAATGTCTTTAACTAGTGAGGTATAATTTGTACACAACACAATTTATAATGTTGTTCTAGATGCATGCTCCAAATTATAAAAATATAAAGTATTTGTGTTCCTTTTTATTACTGTACTCCAATCATTCCACTACTTTAACTCTTAAACTGTCCAAAGGTAGATCTATGTTTGTACAGCTGGCGCTCCAAACGTAGATCTACGTTTTATTTTTCCTGCCTCCGGACTCACTGATGTCATGTAGTATTAGACTCACTGATGTCATGTAGTATTAACACTCCCCTTTTCAGAGGTGATGGACGTAGCCACAAGTGGTCAAGGAAATATAAAAAAAAACTCGATAATAACTCATGTGTAACGTTTGCCCAACATCCTTTCATTTTTGATACCACTGGCTCTCTGTCTGTGTATATCTCTGTCTCTCTCTCACATGTACACATAAGTACAGTTATTATATAGTATAAATTACCTAGGATAACCCAAAAATTCCAGGCAAGGCGCTATACAGTGCTTGTAGATATAAGACATAATAAGCATGACTGGCAACCCAGTGGCAAGTAATACGCATATTCACTTCATGAGGAATCAGACATAACTACTGCATCGTGTGTAATACCTGTTGGTTTACGAGCCGCCCTCTAAGACTAAGAGACAAGCAGACGGAAGCGCAAACACACAGACAGACAGAAAGACCGCGACACATAGGCAGACAGAAAGACCGAGACACACAGGCAGACAAAAGACAGATAAGCAGAGCTAGACAGATATACAGACAGACATACATGTTTGTATGTAACAGTCATCACCAAGTGTCACATCACTGCTTACCCTGTCAGCAGTTTAGTGACACTCATCATAAACGCCATGCTTCAAGAAGTTTCATATATACTCCAGCATGTCTAAAACATTGCTGAGACCTATAAATACTTTGTATATATTTCTAGACAATAGTAAATGACCAAGGCAGGTGAAAATGTACACCTGTTGGTGTGATTGTGACTATTTGAGTACCTAATATTAGTGTCAGAACAAAGATTGGCTATGAAATCACAAGAACTATTATAAATTGTAATTATCAGAACATAATGTTGCCGTCAGGTGAGCATCCAGCGCCAACTTCGTGGTCTTATATCTTGGTAATTACTGGTCCTATTTTTTCTTGGTCTTATAACATAGAGAAAATTGCCCTCTTTAATTAAATTTTTTTTTTTTTTTTTTCAAAATATTTGGAGCACTGCGCGAGTGAACATAGATCTACGTTTGGACAGTTTAAGGGTTAATACTTAACCAATTATGATATTGTTGATCTTAAAGTTCATAACTACCATTACTGTATTGTACTCCTAAATAAACTTACCCACATGTTATTATAATTATTATTATACTGTACTACTCTGAAGAAATTTTATCTACACATTTTATGGGATCATCACAGACACCTAGTCACAATATGCCAAACTTTTTTTTTTTTTTTTTTTTCCCCATTGAGGCCTCTATCAGAATTTTAAGCAAAAGTTCAACATCACACCCACCTGTGATTGTTCCCTGAACTTGGGTGCCATTCTTTAACTCAATGGTCACCGTCTCATGACTGAGCTTCATAAGAAACCTGTGCAAGGAGAAAATATGTCAGTCTTTCACTTATTTTATCAGGTATACAAGTAATTACATTATGTAATACAAAAACTACTATTACTTATCAACCTGTGTCTTAAGATTTGCCAAGGCACTGGTGCTCTCAGACATCACACACAATTTGTGGTTAAGAATAAATTTTAATTTAATGTAACTTAGCATAACCTAAAATAATAAATAATCTATGCAGGAAATGTAATAAAAAAAAAAAAAAAAAAAAAAAGTCATGGTTGAACTTGCCGACAAATGTTAAAAAAAAAAAAAAAAAAAAACACTATGGGTAGACTTTATGCAGGTAAGTTTGACTTACTAAAGCTCTAATTATAACAAATCATTATCTGTTATTAAAAAACTTGCTCAGAAGTGTCTATTGTGCATTTTATTCAACAAATATTTTATGTGCCTCAAAATATATTATGGTGAGCCCTTGATTTAACTAATAGTTTAATCCTGGGAAAAACTGAGATGCATGAGTACTCTTAACACCTGCTTCCCATTTACTTGGCAATAAATTAGTACCAAGGTTAGTTGGTTGTTCTGGGTGAAACCCTTGGGAAGAGGAGTGAAGGACCCCCAATCATCCTTGGGTTATTCTACATTAACAGCACTACTGGGTTAACTATATGAAGAGAGCCTCAAACTACATGAGTGGGTGTGTGTAGGACTTGCATAAGAACATAAGAATATTGGAGCACTAAACTAGGCCTACTGGCCCATGCTAGGCAAAGTCATCTCACGTAGGTCATAATCACATTATTCATGGGGAAGAACTAAACCTACAGGAGTCATACAGCACCTGGGGTATGGACAAACAGGTTATATCTGAGGAAAGGGGAAGGGAAGAATTTTACATGTATTTCTTTCAATAGAGGCACACAAACAACTTTTTTTCTATAAAGTATAAGTAAGTTCATTTGGGTACAGGTACACACAAATACTAAGATAAGATTTTGTTCAGATTTTTAACCCTGAAGGGTTAGCCAAGAAAAGCAGTGCATCATTGAGGGACTATCTGTCTTATTTCCACTGGGGTCCTCAAATTTGTCTCCCAGGACGTAACCCACACCAGTTGACTAACATCCAGGTACCTACTTGCTAGATGAACAGGACAACAGGGGTAAGGAAACATGTCCTAAGTTTCCACCCCTGCCAGGAATCAAATGTGGGCCCTTAGTGTGTGTTTACCTGGAGAGTTTACCTGGAGAGAGTTCCGTGGGTCAACGCCCCCGCGGCCCGGTCTGTGACCAGGCCTCCTTAGGTCAGTGTCCCAGGATGCGACCCACACCAGTCGACTAACACCCAGGTACCCATTTTACTGATGGGGAACATAGACAACAGGTGGAAAGAAACACGTCCAATGTTTCTACTCTGGCTGGGAATCGAACCCAGGCCCTCACCGTGTGAAGCGAGAGCGTTAACCACCAGGCCACCAGAGCTTTGCCAGCCAGGCCACAGGACACCGTAAGTCACTGATATGATTTTATATATAGTTCCTTGTTATGCAGAGCATTACAAGCAGCCTTAAAATTAACTAATACCTACTGGGCAATAAAACAATTACGTCAGTTTACCAGAATCCTGTCAGTTGAAAAAAAAAAATAAACAGTATAATGTAACAATTTGGTTTATGATTTGTGAATTATGAAATACAAGGACCCCAATGGAAATACAAGGGCCCCAATGGAAATACAAGGGCCCCAATGGAAATACAAGGGCCCCAATGGAAATACAAGGGCCCCAATGAAAATACAAGGGCCCCAATGGAAATACAAGGGCCCCAATGGAAATACAAGGGCCCCAATGGAAATACAAGGGCCCCAATGGAAATACAAGGGCCCCAATGAAAATACAAGGGCCTCAATGGAAATACAAGGGCCCCAATGGAAATACAAGGGCCCCAATGAAAATACAAGGGCCCCAATGGAAATACAAGGGCCCCAATGGAAATACAAGGGCCCCAATGGAAATACAAGGGCCCCAATGGAAATAAGTCGCTTGACTTTTTTTTTTATTACCTTAAGTAATTTACACGTTAATACGTATTATTGTACTTATCTGTACCTGTACCTAAATAAACTTACTAACACTTTGGTATAACATTTGCATTGTTGAAAACTTGAGATAGAACTTAGTATCAAGGCAATTTCATTCAAGATAATGGGTCACTAGGCCTACAACATGTTTCATTCAAATTTTAAAATCTACTTTAAAATATAACTTGAGGTAATATTTTATGTTTAATAACTTGAGGTGCCTCCCGCCAAGTTATTAAGTGAGATATATCCACAACCATACTATTTCCTTATATAACAATTAAAATGATGTAGTTATTTAATGCCCTGCTTAATTCATGTACAAAAATATTCAATATTCTTACGTAAAATTAACACACAAATGACGAAGAACAAAACTGCCGGGAAAAAAATTTGTATTAAATACTATTAAGAGAATGTTCTACATCTCCACATGAATTAATCCTAAAATTAGCATTTGCTGACACAAATAAACATTCCAGGCCGTGTGTAAGAAGCACTAACCTTACGAGTTTCATGATGTTTAAGGATAAATACAATACTTTCAAGGTAGGAGAGGCAGCCCGGGTGACGCCAAACGTTCCTTTCAAAACAAACACTTGTCCATAAAATTCATGGTACTTAGAAAATATATACCGTCCTCATATGCACATTAGATTAATTCTCTATTTTCAAAAATATGATATAAAAAAACAAATAATTTTTATTTACTTGCCACAGAAGTGTGGCTTAAAATAATAATTAATGCGTTTTAATTATTTACTCGATTGTTTTTGGATTTCTCAGGAAAAAACACAGATATTTTCCCTCAAGGCCTATTTATATATTTCTCCGAGATTATGGGTCCCTAAAATACACTATAGGTGAACTCCATATTATTATTATTATAATCAAAAAGAAGCGCTAAGCCACAAGGGCTATACAGCGGTGAACTCCATAAAAAAAAAGTTTTTTGGTTGGGGGTGGGGTTATCCTAGGTAATTTACACATATGTTACTACGTAGTATTTATTTATTTATTTATTTTGTCTTTGCAAACAGTACATTGAGATTTTGTATTTACAATAGTGGGTTGCAATACAAAGATCCTCTATTATGCCTAGGCATTATGGGCCAACTTAACATTATTGGCTTACAGTCTACTTAACACTAAGAATTAGTGGGAGACCGGGGTTCGATTCCCCGCCGGGGAGATGTGTTTTTCTGGTGGCCCGGTGGCCTGGTGGCTAAAGCTCCCGCTTCACACACGGAGGGCCCGGGTTCGATTCCCGGTGGGTGGAAACATGCGACACGTTTCCTTACACCTGTTGTCCTGTTCACCTAGCAGCAAATAGGTACCTGGGTGTTAGTCGACTGGTGTGGGTCGCATCCTGGGGGACAAGATTAAGGACCCCAATGGAAATAAGTTAGACAGTCCTCGATGACGCACTGACTTTCTTGGGTTATCCTGGGTGGCTAACCCTCCGGGGTTAAAAATCCGAACGAAATCTTATCTTATCTTATCATAGTTGTACAGTAGATTATTAATTATAAGTGAATCAAAATTTGTATAAGACTGGAAAATTACATTTATCTGAATGTAACTAATTATGTACATAACAGTAAATGATAACAAAGATAATTATTATTTATCAATGTTACATAGACAAGTAGGAATTTGGGACACCTAGGTCGCAAAAAATGTCCCCCTTCGATACCTACCACTGTCATAACCACAAGTTGCTCTGGACCTATTAATTAAATGAAATATACATACACCAGAAATACTGGTAAATATATAAATTTGTGGACTGTATATTAAAAATAATAAATGGTTATATATATATATATATATATATATATATATATATATATATATATATATATATATATATATATATATATATATATATATATATATATATATATATATATATATATATATATATATAAATACACACACAATTACGTAACAGAAGGAAAATATATCTTAATATCACTCACCAATTTGACTGGAAATTAATGTGTATCATACTCAGAAAACCTCACTCTAACTAAATCTATGAAAATAATGCTGGCCAGAATTACACACAAATCTAGAGAGCTTATGTGAGGTTCCTGGAGCTGTCTTGTCCAGTCGTCTGATATCTCAAGTTATGCAGGAATGCACATCCACCAATTTCGCCTCCTATTTGAGAGGTGTCAACACAATTTTAACCTCTAGAGCACGAAAAATTCTTCCCATTACACCAACGTTTGTACAAAATTCAAAACCAAGATGGCGAGTCTCGTCTGCGCAGACATAAATATTATTAAATACAGTATGGCCATCTATTTACATATAAATACTGAATTTCTGGAAAATATATACAGTATTTTCCACAAAGACAAAAGATATATTTATATATTAAAAAATGCTTTTTGTGAAAACAATGATTCAATTATATTGCTCTCAACAATGGATAAAAGGTTCAAAGTGATTGTTGGTTATGATGTGAGTGTACATAGGTGAGTGTGTACTGAGTATTTAGCATTTAGTCTACGGTGATTAAGTGACTTTTGAGAAGAGTCTTAAACTATTTTCAGACTGGGTTACTTTAATTTCTTTTGGTAATGAACTCCATATTTTGGGGCCGTTTGTATGCATAGAGTTTTTACACAGTGTGATATGGACACGAGGTATATCAAAAAGAGATCTGTGTCTTGTGTTGTGGTCATGTGTCCTGTTTAGGTTGGTTAGGAGAAGTTTGAGTGGGGGGCTTATATTTGTATTGTTCTGTGTATGTAGTAGGCACATGAATAAGTATGGATGTTCTTAATGGTGAGCAGATTCAGACTTTTGAAAATTGGTGGAGTATGCTGGCGGGAGTGGGAATTTGTTATCATTCTGACTGCTGCCTTTTGCTGGGTTATTAGAGGTTTTAGGTGATTGGATGTTGTTGATCCCCATGCACAAATTCCATATATAAGATAAGGGTATAATCACGAACGAGTGAAAAAAAAGATGCAAATTAGCCACAGGGGGAGCTGAATGATAGCTCTAGGTCTTTCGTGTTGCAATCAACACATCAGTAGCTTGCAATGTTGCAGAAATTAGTAGGAAGCGCAGAGATTGCAACACGAAAGGTCTAGAGCTGTCATTCAACTCCCCATGTGATTATTTTGCATGTATTAGTATGTATGACATTTTGATGTTCATCTTGTCAGACACTGCAACTCATGGCATCTTGGTACAGAAAACACCTTGGATAACCTTTTCAAGTGAGAATTGTTGGATCTGAGAGGGACATGACCTCTCAGTGGCTACATTCTCACTACTACTACTACTACTCTGCACCTCTCCTTCCGACAGTATTTAAGTCTCCGCATTGTCGCTTGATCTTCAGATAGTTCCTGACTATGGAACTGAACTTCTCCAGGCTGAGGGACTGACAACCTCAAATTCTACGACTTCAAGGGTGATGGACTGATTACATCGTCTTCACATCTCTACTGTTCCTGCTACTTTCTGTATTCGACTGAAGAAGCCTACTGTGTAGGCGAAACGTTTCGGAATAAAGTTGCCTAACTGTTGCCTATGTGTCTTACCTACCATTCCTCAATAAGGAGGGGCGTCACGAGTACACTGAGAGACAACACAAGATTTTTAGATTTTGCCATCGAAGTGGCTAGTTTATTGTGCACCCCATATCCATCCTGTGGACGGTAGCGCGAGAGCATATGGATACACAAAAGGCCTAGGAACTAGGCCCCAAAGGGTTAACAGGAATACATATGGATTTATATCTACATATCTATAGTTCACTTATCTGTTACAAGCAAATTTAGGAAATTTGCTTAGTATATCTGGTATCTTATTTTCATTAATAAGATATCTTGACATGTCACATAGGTTATTATACTGTCTGTCTCTGTATTCAGGGGCCCAAAACTATTCAACTGCCTCCCAGCATACATAAGGGGGATTACCAATAGACCCCTGGCTGTCTTCAAGAAGGCACTGGACAGGCACCTAAAGTCAGTACCTGACCAGCCTGCCTGTGGTTCGTACGTCGGTTTGCGTGCTGCCAGCTGTAACAGACTGGTTGATCAGACCCTGATCCACCACGAGGCCTAGTCTGAGACCGAGCTGCGGGCGGGGGCGTTGACCCCCGAAACCCTGTCCAGGTAAACCTGTATCTGAATAAACTTACTGACCTGTACCTGAATAAACTTACTTTACGGTGGTCCGTGGCTTGTGGCAAAAGCTCTCGCTGTACATTAACATCTCCATTCAAAGCAGGTGAAATCGCAGATCTAGAGAGTGTACAGAGATCCTTTACTGCACGTATAAGTTCTGTCAAGCACCTTAACTACTGGGAACGCTTGGAAGCACTTGACTTGTACTTGTTGGAACGCAGTTTTAGTTTAATATGTTTATTATGCACCCCATACCCATCCTGTGGGCGGTAGTCAAACGATTACAGAGGTACATAATGGGTCCAGGGACTGGGCCTCAAAGTTTTGATAGCTGAGCAAGTTACAGAGGTAATGAATTCACAATTTACAAAGGTAATGAACTCACAATTTACAAAGGTAATGAACTCCAGGTAGGTCTAGTCACAATCATGACAAGTTACAAAGGTATTTACAGATTACAGAGGTACATAATGGGTCCAGGGACTGGGCCCCAAAGTTTTGATGGCTGAACTAGGTACAAGGTAATGAACTCACAAGTTACAAAGGTAATGAATACTGTAAGAATGGTTACTTACGTTTATACATGGCTACAATCATGAACAAATTATAGAGTAATGAGCAATTCACACTTCCACACCCGGTCACAACTGTAGTGAGTTATTGGTGCAAATATTGATTGTTGAGTCACACACACACACACACACACACACACACACACACACACACACACACACACACACACACACACACACACACACACACACACACACACACACAAACACACACACCCAGAGCTAAGAGGTATGTCCTACGAGGAGAGGTTAAGGGAAATCAACCTGACGACACTGGAGGACAGGAGAGATAGGGGGGACATGATAACGACATACAAAATACTGAGAGGAATTGACAAGGTGGACAAAGACAGGATGTTCCAGAGATTGGACACAGTAACAAGGGGACACAGTTGGAAGCTGAAGACACAGATGAATCACAGGGATGTTAGGAAGTATTTCTTCAGCCACAGAGTAGTCAGTAAGTGGAATAGTTTGGGAAGCGATGTAGTGGAGGCAGGATCCATACATAGCTTTAAGCAGAGGTATGATAAAGCTCACGGCTCAGGGAGAGTGACCTAGTAGCGATCAGTGAAGAGGCGGGGCCAGGAGCTCGGACTCGACCCCCGCAACCTCAACTAGGTGAGTACAACTAGGTGAGTACACACACACACAGCACCAGTCTGGAACCCACACCTGGTCAAGCACGTCAAGAAGTTAGAGAAAGTACAAAGGTTTGCAACAAGGCTAGTCCCAGAGCTCAAGGAAATGTCGTACGAGGAAAGGTTAAGGGAAATCGGACTGACGACACTGGAGGACAGAAGGGTCAGGGGAGACATGATAATGACATACAAGATACTGCGGGGAATAGACAAGGTGGACAGAGACAGGATGTTCCAGAGAGGGGACACAGGGACAAGGGGTCACAACTGGAAGCTGAAGACTCAGACGAGTCACAGGGACTTTAGGAAGTATTTCTTCAGTCATAGAGTTGTCAGCAAGTGGAATAGCCTAGCAAGTGAAGTAGTGGAGGCAGGAACTATACATAGTTTTAAGAAGAGGTATGACAAAGCTCAGGAAGCAGAGAGAGGACCCAGTAGCGATCAGTGAAGAGGCGGGGCCAGGAGCTGAGTCTCGACCCCTGCAACCACAATTAGGTGAGTACACACACACACACACACACACACACACACACACACACACACACACACACATACACAAACTCATACACACACACGCACACACACTCATACACACACACACACGGGAACGCAGGAGGGAGAGATATATCATAATCTACACTTGGAAAATCCTGGAAGGAATGGTCCCAAATCTGCACACAGATATCACTCCCTATGAAAGTAAAAGACTGGGCAGGCGATGCAAAATACCCCCAATTAAAAGTAGGGGCGTCATTGGTACACTAAGGGAAAACACCATAAGTGCCCGGGGCCCAAGACTGTTCAACAGCCTCCCATCAAGCATTAGGGGAATTACCAATAAACCCCTGGCTGCCTTCAAGAGAGAGCTGGACAGATACCTAAAGTCAGTGCCGGATCAGCCAGGCTGTGGCTCGTACGTTGGACTGCGTGTGGCCAGCAGTAACAGCTTGGTTGATCAGGCGCTGATCCACCGGGAGGCCTGGTCATGGACCGGGCCGCGGGGGCGTTGATCCCCGGAATAACCTCCAGGTAAACTCCAGGTACCCGGTGAGTGTCTGGGTTCGATTCCCGGCGAGGGTAGAAACACTGGGTGTGTTTCCTTACACCGGTTGTCTATGTTCACCCATCAATAAAACGGGTACCTGGGTATCAGTCGATTGGTGTGGATCACATCCTGGGACAAAATTGACTTAATTCGCCCGAAATGCCCTGCATAACAAGCAGCTTTATGTTAAATTAGACACATGTGCAACTCTTGGGTATCTTTATTGAGGAAACGTTTCGCCACACAGTGGCTTCATCAGTCCATACAAAGGATAAACTTGAAGAACAGGAGGAGAATGAGGTAATCAGTCCCTCAGCCTTGAGTCGATGTGGTCAGTCCATCAATCTATTCAAGATTGATGGACTGACCACATTGACTCAAGGCCTACTTTTCTGTATTCGACTGAAGAAGCCTACTGTGTAGGCGAAACGTTTCGGAATAAAGTTGCCTAACTGTTGGCTATGTGTCTTACCTACCAACCTGAATAAAGGTACGTAACAAGAGGTGGACACAGCGTAAGCCGTCATTGTACCTTACAAACCCAACAACAACAACAAGAGGAGACAATAATACATAAACAGGTTTTCTCTCAGTCATCAAAATGGGGAAAAGACAGCATCAGAAGGATAAAATGTATGTGTAATTACTAGTTCGTTTTATATTGTTATATGTGCTGCTAAATTCTCGTGAATATTTATGTGGCTAGCTTGTTGTAAGTTTAATCTGAAATCTGAATTGCTTTGCATAACTCTGGGGGTTTTTCCATGCAAAATAAAAAAATTATTTTTGAAAAACTTGTGTAATACCATGGAAAAAATGAAAAATAAACTTTATTTGCTTGTGATTATTAAACATTAAATTGGCATCAACGACCCCAGCGGAAATAAGTCACTTTGATTTTATTGGGTTATTCTAGGTTAACTTCGATATAATTTGCAATATAAAATCATGCAAAAATCATATAATTATGTATGAGCCCTAAATAAAAACTAGACTAGACGAAAGTCTCTGTAATGTATGAAATACTCTAAATGTAATATAATTTTTAATAATTTTTAACCTTTTTGTAAATACAGTTTATTTATTCATTATTACTCACGTCTAATCACGTCTCATTCATGAAGCATTATGTGACACTTACTGCTTTGATGCTTCCAAGTCAATATATAATGATAATAATTATAATTTACCTGGAGTTTACCTGGAGAGAGTTTCGGGGGTCAACGCCCCCGCGGCCCGGTCTGTGACCAGGCCTCCTGGTGGATCAGCGCCTGATCAACCAGGCTGTTGCTGCTGGCTGCACGCAAACCAACGTACGAGCCACAGCCCGGCTGATCAGGAACTGACTTTAGCCACTAATGCTATTTATACTGTGTCTCTGCAATAATTATAATAAAATCGAATTGTTAAAGTATCTGGAAATTTATTCTGAATAAAGAGGCACAAAAGAAAAAAAGTTTTATTGGAAAAAAGAAAGACAAGAGGGGGACATAAGTTTTATTTAATAAGATATAAATAAAAATTGCATATAAAGAGAATGAGGTACTAGGTACGTACTAGTATACTGAATAATAATAATAATAATAATAATATCTTTGTTTCTACAAGTACATGTACAATGTATACAGGCCTAGCTGACATCAATGACATACTACTCTATAGACAGCCCCTTGTTATAGGGTAATACACTATCAAATACGTACAGGAAAATTGAAGGAAATGAGAATTTTTAATGCCAAACTATGCAAAGAGGTAAGACTAGACATAGATTCAACTTAGGTAAACCTCAAGCAGTATTTGGAATGTCAGAAGCAGCCATCAAGTTAACAGATGGTACTGATTTACTGTATAGATTAATTTTTGACAAAGTAATTGTACTGTGTTATGTTTGATTGTTTATGTACTGTATTTAATTTAATTTCAAAAGATTTTATTTATGGAATAATTGAAAATGTAAATGAAAATGTTTATTTCCTTGCAAAGCTTACAATGTGTAGTTTACATATTATAAAATATTAATTACAAGGAAGGCCTCTAGCATGCCTAGGCATTTTGGGGAGACTAATCCTAATTTTTACTCTCTATTGACACAGGTTATGGAGCAGTACATTTTAATATACCTTATTGCATATTAGGTAACTGAAGTGATTAATTAGGTTTATAATAATGAGGTAGTACAAAACATATAACAATATTACAGTTAGTAAATTTAGTAATGTATGCACAGTGGATTGTATGTATTCATATATCCCATTTGTGTGTATATACAATACTGTACATGTATATATGTTGGTGTCTCAACCTATCGAGGCATCTTAGAGCTCAGTGGTGGTATTTTTATTGCCTTACACTTGCTGTGACTGTTCACCTAGCAGGAAGTAGGCGGATTGCATCCTGGGCATGAGGACTAGAGGACTCTTTTTTGGGTTATCCTAGGTAATTTAAACATGTGGTACTTATGTATGATATTTTGTGTAACTGTATTTATATGTACCTATGCCTAAATAAACTTACTTATCCACTGATTGTCTTTCTAGGGTTACTAATTCTTCAGAGCTAATAATCTTAATACAGTCTTGTTATGTATGTATGTATGTTCAGTTGTTTCTTAGTCAGAATCACTACCAATAAGCTATGAGGCCCTGGGGCCATGCCTATCAGAGATATTGCATAATTCTTCACAAACTGTGTTTGCTAATTTATTGTAAAAATACTTGGGTAGCAATTTGTTAAAAATTCCAGGTATCTGACCTCCACTGAGTGGTCAACATTATACGGTGGGTATAAGGCCTCCTCCCACTCAGGATCAAAAGCAGACTTCCGAAGACTTCCCCTCACCCATGTGCGGTCTCTTTATTGCCATTCAGTCATCCATACATTGATCCAGAGGGAAATGTTTATGATCTTGAAGCTATTCTTCCATTTTTGCACAAGTTCAAGGTGAATCCTGTTACTGGCAAGGTAAGTTTTCTGATTTGGTTGAAATGTGTTAAATTTTGTCTGATCTGAGAAAACATGTAATATATATACATGCTACAAATATTAAGTTCAACAATAATACAGTATATCTTTACATTTTATTTTCAGCCTCTAAGTGAAAAACAATTGATAAAGTTAACTTTTCACCGTGCCAGCACAGGAGAGTATCATTGTCCTGTGTTGTACAAACCTCTCACCAACACTTCTCATGTTGTTGCTCTCAAAACTACTGGCAATGTTTTTTCATATGAGGTATGTTGAAAATATATTTTCAAAATGCATGCATGCACTAGATTTCACATCACTTGAGAAAGGCAAATCAAGAGGAGACAAATGAGGACATTATAAATACTGTACTCTGGAGTGTAGACAGGGTAGGCAAGGTGAGAGACTTAAATATGGGAGAGTCAAGAATTAGTAGACACATGAAAACTGTACTATACTCAAATAAACTAAAACATGTTAAAAAACACTTATATAGTACAAAAGTAGCATAGAAATAAAATTAGTAGACAAATACTATGTGGTAAAAATAGGAATAAATATGGATAGACTGCACATGGATTATGAAATATTATATGTAATATAGTACTGTACTGTATTAAATTGGCCATAGAAGGAAAAAATACTGAGGTGCATATAAGCAGAATAACTTGACTCACGAAATCGTAATGACACGATTGCAAACAAACCATACCATGGGCGGGGATAGATCCCGCGATCAGAGAGCCTCAAAACTCCAGACCGTCGCGTTAGCCACTGGACCAGCTAGCCACAATAAGATTCGTCCAACTAGGTATATTTCTACACCATAGGAAGGTTAGCATAGGCATCACTGTGACCACAAACGCAAGTTTTTACAGACGAATCTCCAGCTAGCGTGGCTGTGGCGAACTCTAGCTCAAGTCCCCTCAAAGCCGTTAACATGACTCACGAAATCGTAATGACACGATTGCAAACAAACCATACCACAGGCTAGCTGGTCCAGTGGCTAACGCGACGGTCTGGAGTTTTGAGGCTCTCTGATCGCGGGTTCTATCCCCGCCCGTGGTATGGTTTTTTTAAGCGGAATAACATCAGTAGGAGAGGCTGAGCTTTCAAACATTAGAGCAGTGTTTAGGAATCTACGCAAAATCTTGTTCAAAACGCATTTTTATATCTCGTACACGTGATCCATTTTTTATTTTTTAGCACTGGTGTGGTACCCCTAGCTTAGTAGAACAAAGTGAAATATGAAAGAGCACATAGGAGAGACTCAAGACCCGTGTTTGAGCTATCAGAGCAACCGCAAAGGATGTATATTAGAATTAGGCCTTATGTCACTGGATTAGCTAATTACAAAAGGGAATATGACCATGGCATGCAAATACTATGGCATATAGAGAGCACAGACAAGGATAGATTCTTTACCAGAGAAGCAACAAGAACAAACAAGCCATAGCTGCATTAGAAAGTTTCTTTAGTGTAATAGTGGTAAATAAGTAAAATAAGCTGAGGAATAATACAGTGGAATCAAACTATCCAAAGTGTTCCAAAATAGTTATACTATAAGCATTCATTCAGGTCAGTCACTTGAAAGCTAATGGGATGGGCCAGGCACTGATGCTCAACCCCCTTTAAGCTCTAATAGGTAGTTACACAAGCAGTAATTATGTGGATGTTCACACAAATGGTTTACATATTGCATTTAAGTCATTATTGCTGGTGCAGTTATAAAAATTAACAACTGAATGATATTGAATTTACAAAAGGAATCTTGTTTGCAATATAGTGTATTGTACTCCTGATCGAATTGACTGTACAGCATTTTAGATTGAACAGAAATTTATTTGAGACTTAATAATTATCTTGTATTATCAAAATGTGGGCTTGTCAATAGATTGACTCATTTGCAACTTTCATATTTTACATCATTTTAGGTTATACTCAATAAATACATTAAATTATGCTCTACATAAGGACATCATAGATATTAACTATTAAAAACAAAGTAATATAAGAAATTATTAACTTACAAATATTTTCCTGTTGCATAGTTGTCTTCTTTATTAACAGGCAGTGGAGCAGTTGAATATTAAGGTGAACAACTGGAGAGATTTCTTATGAAAAGGGAAATTCACCCGGCAGATTTTCATCATTAGGCCCCACAAGACCTAGAAAGTAAAACATCAGGATTTCATCACACAGAAAAAAACCTTAAAGGTAAGAGTGGGGAAAAGTTAAACCTAAAGAAAGAGAGACCTTAGATAGGCAGTATGGTCACTGTCTTAAAAAATTTGATAGTTTGGGTCTGTAGAAGAAAAATGATAGTGTTGGGGAAAAATTTGTTTAAAAGTATGAATCTGAATGAAGGGGGGACTAAAGTTTTTTTTTTTTTTTATAAAGAATGGTTCTACTTTTTTCTGAAGATAAGTTGCAAAGGTTGGTGGTAGAAAAGGGGGTGTTTTTAAAAGAGAAAAAATTGAAATATAACAGAAATGAAAAAGACGAGAGAAAAAAGTAGGGGGGGGGGATTTTTGGAAAAAAGTGAATATATTTATATTTTTGGGAGTGGACCATTTTGGGAGAGGTGAATCATAGAAAAAAATTAAAGGGAAGAAAAAGCTAGGTGGTGTGTTGAGGCACCTTTGTAGTGAAAAAATTAATTTGGAGGCAAAAAGGGAGGAATATATCAGAGTTAGGGGTACTAACCTTCTTATTTTGTATTTTTTTTTTTTTCAACAAAGAACCTTTTTCCACTGAGGAAAGGGGTGCCCCCCCCCCAAAAAAAAAAGATTTTCCCCATCATTTTTTCAAAAAATTTCCTAGGTGGGGGTTTCCATACTGGGTTGCATTTCAAGATGGGCCTGAATATGTTGTATAAAACGTCAGAAAGAAGTTGAGACCCTTTAAAGGCCTCTTTTAAAATTCCAGGCAAGATTGGTGCAGGGGGGTATTCACTTCATTGAGTCTGAAAAAATTTCTGGGCTCTGTTTTACCCTAGGTCTTCTCTTTGGTGGGTCTGCATCCTTTGTTTTTCCCGAAATTTCATTGTGTTGGTTTAGTGTTGGGGTGGTGCGTCCTGTGTTTGCTGGATTACGTGGGCCCCCCACCTTACAGCATTTTTCCTTAGGGCGGTCTGTAATACAGACGTTTAAAAATTATGAAAAAAACTCGCTTATGGCTCACCCCCCTGCTTCTAATAAGTCACTGCACCCTCCCAGCCAGTTTGTTTACATTCTCCTCAGTCTTTGAGCACCCGTCCTCATTATTTTGAAACTTTCCCAAAAAATTTAAGTTTTTAAAGTTATTTCTGTTTTATATACATATTTTTTTTTTTAAAACTGGATGCTTTAATGTGCGTGGAGTAGGCGGAGACAAAAAAGATGTTGTGTGTTTTGAAAGAAAAGAAAGTTGGGTGTCTGGCCCTAAGCGAAACAAAAACTGAAGGGGGAGGGGGGGTTTTTGGGGGGGGGAAATAAATGGAAATTAATCTGGAGTATCTGAAAAATTAACAAAGGAAGGGGTAGCAGTAATGTTTAAGGATCATTATGGAAGGAAAAAGAGAATATGAATGTTAAAAATTAAGAATTATGTGGGTTAAAATAAAGGGTTTGGATGCAAAAGGGGTATAAAAACTGTATGCACCTGGAGAAGAGAGGAATGTAGAGGGGAAAAGAGATTTTGGGGATGTTAAGTGAATGTATAGGAGCCTTTTAACCAAGTGAGAGAGTAAATTTGGTAGGGACCTGAATGCTAAAGTGGAGAAACTTTTAGAGGGGTGTGGGAGGTAAATTTGGGGTGCCAGGGGTAAAAGATAATGGGAGCCCCCTTTATTGAACTTTTTATAAAAGGGTTGTTATAGGTAATACATATTTTTAAAAAAAAAAGGATAAATAAGTTACAAGATTGATGTAGGGGGGAAATGACATACAGTGGGGCCCCCCCGGGTTAACGATTTTTTTCACTCCAGAAATATGTTGGTGCCCGTACTGACCCAAATTTTTTCCCCTAAGAAAAATTTTGAAATAGATTAGTCATTTCAACCCCCCAAAAATAAAACGTACAAACGATTAAAAAATACACTTTAAAAATTGGGGCAATTCGGAGGTAATCGTTATCGGGGGGGCCCCCTGTAGTTTGTTGGATTATGTATTGGGGTAAAAACTGTGAGTAGACTTCAAAATGTAATGTTTATAAGGGGCCACAGATATATCAGATCACTTTCTATTGTAGCTACATGAGAGTAAAAAGGGAGATGGGAACAAGGAGAATAGAAGCATCAGGGAAGAGAGAGGTGAAGGTTTTTAAAAAATAAAAGAGGAGGCAGTTGGGTAAGATATAAAAGGTATTGGAGGTTGATGGGTAATGGGGAGCATAGGCAGGGGGTCGAAGAGGTAGGGGAGGTTTTTAAAAAGTAATTTTAAAATGTTTTCCGAAGTTTGTGGGTTTCAGGAAAGTGGGTGGGGGGGAAGAGGACGATTTGTGGAAAGATGGTAAAAAGGTATAAGGGAGAAAAATTTGCATATGAGAAATTTTTTTCAAAGTAGAAGTGATGCAAGGAGGGAAAGAGATATGGAGAAAAGGAGAGAGGGTTAAAAGGGGTGGTAAGCAAAATAAAAGAGAGCAAAGAGAGAGTGGGTGAGATGTATCAAAAAATTTTGTTGAAAATAAAAAAATTTTGGAGTGAGTTTAACAATTTAAGGGAAAAGCCTAAGAAATAAAGGGATTTGTCAGTTAAAAATAGGGAGGGGTTTAAATTAAATGGAGAGTTAAGGTATTGGGAAGTTTGGAGGGAATTTTTTGGGAGGAATTTTAAATTTTGGGATGAAGATGGGGAAAGCTGTAAATTTCGTTTTATGGGGCAAGGGGGAAAACATCTTTTTGAATGAGGAAGAGCCGTTTTTTGGGTGGGGGGAAGTTCGTGAGGAAGTAGGGAAAAAATTTGAAAGGGGGAAAGGCCCGCCGGGTTTTTGATGGGATAAAGATAAAATTTTAAAAAGCAGGTGGGGATAAATTTTTTGGAGGGGTTTTGGTGCAATTTTTTTAATAAATGCATGGATGGGGGTTTAAGGTCCCTGGGGGTTGGCAGGGGGCAGCTATTTCCTTTGTAAAAAGGGGAAAAGGGGGAAACAAAAGAGAGTGCATAAATTATGGGGGATAAGCCCTGTTGAGTATACCTGGAAAAAGGATGGTAGAGTTATTATTGAAAAAAATTAAGAGTAAGACGGAAAATAGGAAGAGAAAAAAGGAGGCTTTAGGAAAATTTAGGGGGGTTGGGGGACCGGGTGTTTTACATGAAAAACAATAATTAACAGTTTTTGAAAAGGGGGCTAAAGAGGTCTTTTGTGGTTTAAAGGGTTTTTGGAAAAGGCGTGGGGAAGGGGGGGATAGGGGGGGGAAATTGGGGGCAGATGTTGAAAGGTGTAGGGGATAGGAGGGGGTTTTACTGAAAGCAGTGAAGATTTTTTAAACGAGGATAGTGAGGCTCAATTAGAGTTGTAGGAAAGAGGGGGGTTTTTTTCCCATTTAAAAATAGGCCTTTGACCCGGGGTTTGATGTTTACCGGGGGTTTGTTTTTAAAATATTTATAGGGTGGGGGTTTTAAGAGAAGTAAATTGAGGGTCCCTTTGGGGAAGAGGCGGGAGTTTTTAAAAATAAAGAAACACACATAAAGTGGGAGTTGTCACAGTTGCTCCCTTTTCTGATGACACTGGCTCTTGGGGGGATTCTGAAGGGGGAAGTTTCCCGAGATTGGTGGATGAATTTTTGGGAGGGTATGCCCAAAAAAAGAAAATTAAAAGTGAATACAGGGAAAAAGGGAAAGGTTTTGAGGATAACAAAAAGATTAGGGGGGATGAAAAAATTGGGTATCAGATTGGGAAGGGGAAGTTGGAGGAGGTGAATGTATTCAGATATTTGGGAGTGGGGCGTGTCAGCGGATGGGTTATGAAAGATGAGGTGAATCATAGAATTGATGAGGGGGGAAAAAGGGGGAGTGGTGCACCCTTTGGAGTCTGTGGAGGGCAAAGAACTTTGTCCTTGGAGGCAAAAAGGGGGAAAGCATGAGAGTATAGTTTTACCCAAAACTCTTTTTATGGGTGTGAAGCATGGGGGATGAAAGTTTTTCAGAAAAGGGAAGGGGGAGGCCCCGTGGAGATTTCAAAGTCTGAGGGCCCAAATTTGGGGGTGTGAAAATAAGCAAAGAAATTTTGGGAGTTTGGGGGGAAAATTTTGGAAAGAGGGGGGGCGGGATTTCCCAAAAATGTTGTCCAGAGGGTTTGGGGGAAAGGGTTTTTTGAGGGGTTTTGGAAAATGTAGGGGAATGGAGCGGGAAAAAGAGTGACTTCAAAGGGGGTATTTAGTCCCGTAGTGGAAGGGGAAGGGGGGGGGGTAGGGGTCGGGGCCCAGGGGGGGTTGGAGGGAGGGGGAAAAAAGGGGGTTTTTTTGTGCGAGGGGCTTGGGCTTCCAGCAGGGATGCCTTGGGGCGTTTTTTTGATAGGAAATGAATGGAGACAAAGGTTTTTAATACTAGATGGCTGTTTTTGGAAGTGTGGCAAAGAACATTTTTGAAAAGGGGTTTGGGGGGAAAAAAGGCCCGGCCGGACTTTAGGGCCTGGAGATGGGAAGGGACAGTGCCCCACCTTTTAAAGGGGGGGTGTTATTTTTGCAGTTTTAAAAACTGTAATGCAAAGCACCCTTTTTGGAAGACCCGTGGGTGGGGGTGAAAGATGGTGAAAATTTTTCTTTTTTTCCCGGGGGGACCCTGCCCTTTGGGGGGAATCGGCCAGTGTGATAATAATTTAAAAATAAAATTCCCCCGAAAAAATTTTGGGATAAAAAACACGGTTGTAAGTCGAGTTGGGCGTAAAATTTGAGCAGGTCATAAGTCGGATGGGGAGGTGTGTAATATATATTTAAAATAAAATTTTTTTTTTTTTTTTCAACAAGTCGGGGCCTTTCCTACCGGGGGAGGGTGACCCAAAAAAAGAAAGAAAATCCCCAAAAAGGAAAAAATTTTTATTTATCATTAACACTTTTACCACACTCACACATTATCATTTTTTTTTGCAGAGGTGCTCAGGATACAACAGTTTAGAAGCATATACATATAAAGATACAAAACATATCCCTCCAAACTGCCGAATATCCCAAACCCCTCCTTTAAAGTGCAGGCATTGTACTTCCCATTTCCAGACTCAAGTCCGACTATATGAAAATAACCGGTTTCCCTGAATCCCTTCACTAAATATTACCCTGCTCACACTCCAACAGATCGTCAGGTCCCAAGTACCATTCGTCTCCATTCACTCCTATCTAACACGCTCACGCACGCTTGCTGGAAGTCCAAGCCCCTCGCCCACAAAACCTCCTTTACCCCCTCTCTCCAACCCTTTCGAGGACGACCCCTACCCCGCCTTCCTTCCCCTATAGATTTATATGCTTTCCATGTCATTCTACTTTGATCCATTCTCTCTAAATGACTAAACCACCTCAACAACACCTCTTCTACCCTCTGACTAATACTTTTATTAACCCTTTGAGGGTTTCGGCCGTACTAGTACGGCTTAATACCCAGGGTTTTTGACATACTAGTACGCCTAAATTCTAGCGCCCTCAAATCTAGTGGGAGAAAGCTGGTAGGCCTACATATGAAAGAATGGGTCTATGTGGTCAGTGTGCACAGTATAAAAAAAATCCTGCAGCACACAGTGCATAATGAGAAAAAAAAAATTTTGACCGTTTTTTTTTAATAAAACAGCGACTTTGCACTGTATTTTCATATGGTATTTATTGTTGTATTCTAGTTTTCTTGGTCTCATTTTATAGAATGGAAGACATATTTACAGAAATTGAGATGATTTTGACTGGTTTTACAATGAAAAGTACCTTGAAATTGAGCTCAAAGTAGCAGAAATGTTCGATTTTTACCAAAGTTCAAAAGTAAAGAAATCATGCCAAACGTCCAATACAGGTCAACTGGTGAGTCTCATATTCTTTTGCAAGTGCGCCAATATTATTTATACCATTTTTTACACTAATGCAGTAGTCTGCATAACAGTAAATCTTTTATTTTTTGTGAGAATAAAAATTCAAAGTGGAAAGCAAAAGAATGTAAGAGGGGCCTTGAGACGTGACTAATGAACAGAGGAAATGTCATTTTAGTGCCAGGAATGTCTTTCTTGTTTATTCTGGACCCTATTCGGAAATTGGCATCTTTTGAAATTTGTGTGAAATTGGCAAAATTGCTAAATTCTGACCACTGTACTGGATAGTTGAAATCAGTAAATGGGTGGTTTCTTGCACTCATTCGATAGAAAAAAATGGAGTTCTAGCGAAATATTCATGTTTTTTGTCGACTAGTACAGTGGAATTGGCTGAAAATGGGGCTCAAAGTGGGCAAAATCGCCGATGCGTAAACATCACCGAGACCGCTAACTTCGCGAGAGCATAATTCCGTAAGTTTTCCATCAAATTTTATACTTTTGGTGTCATTGTGATCGGGAAAAGATTCTCTATCTTTTCATAAGAATTTTTTTTTTTTTTTTTTTTAAATTTGGCTGACCCTGAGAACGAGTCTCGGAGAGGGCCCGTCGGCCCTCAAAGGGTTAACTCCACACCTTTTCCTAATTGCCACACTCCGAATTTTCTGCATAATATTTACACCACACATTGCCCTTAGACAGGACATCTCCACTGCCTCCAACCGTCTCCTCGCTGCTGCATTTACCACCCAAGCTTCACATCCATATAAGAGTGTTGGTACTACTATACTTTCATACATTCCCATCTTTGCCTCCATAGATAACGTTTTTTGATTCCACATATACCTCAACGCACCACTCACCTTTTTTTTCCCTCATCAATTCTATGATTAACCTCATCCTTCATAAATCCATCCGCCGACACGTCAACTCCCAAGTATCTGAAAACATTCACTTCTTCCATACTCCTCCTCCCCAATTTGATATCCAATTTTTCTTTATATAAATCATTTGATACCCTCATCACCTTACTCTTTTCTATGTTCACTTTCAACTTTCTACCTTTACACACATTCCCAAACTCATCCACTAATCTTTGCAATTTTTCTTTAGAATCTCCCATAAGCACGGTACCATCAGCAAAAAGTAACTGTGTCAATTCCCATTTTGAATTTGATTCCCCATAATTTAATCCCACCCCTCTCCCAAATACCCTAGCATTTACTTCTTTTACAACCCCATCTATAAATATATTAAACAACCATGGTGACATTACACATCCCTGTCTAAGACCTACTTTTACTGGGAAGTACTCTCTCTCTCTTCTACACACCCTAACCTGAGCCTCACTATCCTCATAAAAACTCTTTACAGCATTTACTAACTTACCACCTATTCCATATACTTGCAACATCTGCCACATTGCTCCTCTATCCACTCTATCATATGCCTTTTCTAAATCCATAAATGCAATAAAAACTTCCCTACCTTTATCTAAATACTGTTCACATATATGCTTCAATGTAAACACTTGATCTACACATCCCCTACCCACTCTGAAACCTCCTTGCTCATCCGCAATCCTACATTCAGTCTTACCTCTAATTCTTTCAATTATAACCCTACCATACACTTTTCCTGGTATACTCAGTAAACTTATTCCTCTATAATTTTTACAATCTCTCTTGTCCCCTTTCCCTTTATATAAAGGGACTACATGCTCTCTGCCAATCCCTAGGTACCTTCCCCTCTTTCATACATTTATTAAACAGAAGTACCAACCAGTAAAACACTATATCCCCCCCTGCTTTTAACATTTCTGTCATGATCCCATCAGTTCCAGCTGCTTTACCCCCTTTCATTCTACGTAATGCCTCACGTACCTCCCCCACACTTACATTCTGCTCTTCTTCACTCCTAAAAGATGGTATACCTCCCTGGTCAGTGCATGAAATTACTGCCTCCCTTCCTTCCTCGACATTTAAAAGTTCCTCAAAATATTCTCGCCATCTACCTAATACCTCCCTCTCCCCATCTACTAACTCCCCTACTCTGTTTTTAACTGACAAATCCATACTTTCCCTAGGCTTTCTTAACTTCTTTAACTCACTCCAAAATTTTTTCATATTTTCATTAAAATTTCTTGACAGTGCCTCTCCCACTCTATCATCTGCTCTCCTTTTGCACTCTCTCACATCTCATATTTATGTTAATTTATTCTACTGTGGGGTGTAATTAGATGGATTAAGCAAAATGTCTATATTAACATTTTATACGATATTTAATGCTCCTTATTATTGTGTTATTATTATTATTAATATGGCATCTTCAAGACTAATAAGACACTCTTAGTGATTTTAGTGTGTACCTGCATGCTAGCACAGTGTGTAAGTTTACTTAGGTACAGGTACACATAATTGTCAGTTATAATAATAATGTAGGCATGTAGTCTGCCTGGGCTACATACCTACACCTAGCTACATAGCTACACAATATTTAATGTGGCCCAGAGCCATATTATTACCATTGACATACCACGTTCACTGAGTTTAATTGTTTCTATCAACTACCTTTAGATGCCATCATAAACAAATGGAGAGGTAATGAATAATTCATGCCGAGAATTGTAAACAAAAGCGTTATGTATTAAGGGGAGTGACGTAATGTTTTTCCTCTGCCCGGCTACCACACCTCCTTAGTATATAAACATAAAATGTTTATATGTTATGTAACGTTTTTCTTATATAATTTTGAAGAAAATATAATAGATGAATTACTGAAAATGTCTATATTAGCGTAAAATAAGACATTTAATGTGCCTGAGAGTGATTATTATTAGTATTTATTTATTTATTTATTTATTTATTTATTTACAATTTGAGCTTTCCTTCCACCTGGCACCCACACCTCCATAGCATTAAAACAGCATGTTTATATACTATGTAATGTGTTTCTTATATAATTTTGAAGAAAATATCATAGATGGATTAATGAAAATGTCTATACAGTGGACCCTCGCCTAACGCTATTAATCCGTTCCTGAGAGCTCTACGTTAGGCGAAATTCTTGTTAGGCGAATTAATTTTCCCCATAAGAAATAATGGAAATCAAATTAATCCGTTCCTGACACCCCAAAGTATGCACAAAAAAAAACTTTTACCACACGAAATATTAATTTTAATACACACAAACTGAAGAAGACATGCACAATTACATGACACTTACCTTTATTGAAGATCTGGTGATGATTGATGGGATGGAAGGAGGGGAGAGTGTTGATGGTGTTAGTGTTTAGAAGGGGAATCCCCTTCCATTAGGACTTGAGGTGGCAAGTCCTTTTCCGGGGTTACTTCCCTTCTTCTTTTAATGCCACTAGGACCAGCTGGACCTCTGTCGCACAACATATCTTTTCCATAGAGGCCTGTACCTCCCGTTCCTTTAATGACATTCCTAAAGTTTTTCACAACATTGTCAGTGTACAGGTTGCCAACATGGCTTGCAATAGGTGTGTGAGGGTGATTTTCCCTCAAAAAAGG